AGAAAAGAGGGTGGGATTGTAGCCGAGAGACAGCTATATGACCGCACTGATTTGTCTGCTTATTGTTGGCGTTGCATATCGTTGCATTCGCTGTTGTTTCCGCTCGTTCGCGATGCCGATACGGTGTCGCGACTCTCATGACGACGACGATGATGATGACGATGAGGAAAAGAGGGATAGGTCGTGATAAAACGCGCCAACTGATTCCGGGATCTCGGTGTCGGGGAGATCGAAGTTTAGACGTCACTTTTCCCGACCCGGTGATTTCAACGCCGACACAAGAGATATCGCTCTATCGCGATTTAAAGCTTTTATATATGTGAGAATTTTCTCTTGGTATTCACCATGGAAATTAATGATTATGGTATTGGAAGAACTTTATATAAGAGTTTCTCTGATTAATATTTGTCACAATAATAAAAAATGTTTAATATTTACCGCAATATAAAATATTATAATATTTACCACAATAAGATATAAAATATATTCATGATTAATTTTATTATGTTACGTAGTAATATTTTTTATTGCGTAAATATTAATCAGAGAAACTCTTATAAAATTCTTCAATATATAGAGAATTTTTATATAGAGTCTTTGTCGAAATTCCAAGAATTCTCTATATATATTTGATGGATTTTGATTGTCGGAATCTTTAAAAAAATTAACATTCTTTTTCCCTAATTTTTCGTACAAACTTATCTTTTGTTCACAAATTGCATAGACTAATTCGAGAATTTTTAATTGAGATAATTAGCGATTAGGCAACACAGGGACGCAATAGATCAGACATGAGATTGCATCGCACGACAATCTACGTTAACTAACGTCAAATTAGCGAATTGTTACTTCTCTCTCGATTACATCCGTGCGTATAATCTAGACAGAGATGGGAAGTGAGTTAATTAGGATTACTGCCAACCGGCACTGCGATGCAATAGCGCCCCAAATTGCGGGTTTCCACAGACAGTCGAGTTGTTTTATTGCGGCAATAAATAAGTTTACTCCATTATGACAAATTAGGATACCTAATTTGTACCCACTTCTGTTTCTCTAATCTTTCTACATTTTTTATCAATGATTCGTATGCAATTTAATTAATAGATATATATATAGAGGTATAATAATAGGAATAATATATAGGTATGGATAATGATTTTGCATTATAATTGATTATATAGCAATTAATAGAATTAACAATGTATATGTATAGAGAGAGTTGGGCAGACACTTCGAAACAAAATATTTAAATACAAGATACAAGATACTGTTTGACATATATTTTAATACTATATTGAAATACTTTGGTTTTGAAATATATTTAAATACTAATTGTATTTAAATACATTTATAAATACTTTTAAATATAATTATATTTCCGATTATATAGTTAATATTAAAGTAATTACAAAAAGATTACCTACTATTATTTAAAAAATGAAATAGTAATAGTAGATGATTTTATTGTAATTACTTTAATATTAAGTATAATATAGTCTGATGGTAGAATTATATATGAAAATAATATCAAAAGTAAGTTAATTTTAACACTTTGAAAGATAAGTTCATTTATTTGAACTTTAAACTTTATCAAACAATAATAATTAAAATAAACATATAATAGCATATATATGTAATTACATAAATCTATTTAAATACAAGATGCATTTAAATTAAACAATCAATTACAAAATTCGAAATACTTGATTATTCGGTATTTAAATACGTATCTCAGATACTTTAAGATACATATCTGCCCAACTCTGATTATGTATATGGAATAATTTGTCAATGTTATTGAGTCGATTAGAAAATCAGAGTCACTCAAAATGATCGATATCCTTGACTAACGAAAAGGTTGTCATATACGCGACATTCTTACGATTGATTAGACGAGCGCTTATTATTAGCGCGCGGTGACGTTTAAAATGAATCGTGAAATGAAGAATTAATGGGACACGACTAAACGATCGCAGAGATCGTGACGAAGCGCGTTATTCACGCAGGCTGCGTTTTCGCCTGCCTGAAATAAGTATCGGTTCGCTTAACACAGGCATCATGCATGGGTGGCGAACGGTTCACGTGCAACGAAATCCGCGTTGTTATCGCATCATTACGAGATAAGAGTCAATCTTGTGGATCGTGTGAACTATGTCGGGGAAGTTTAAGATACTTCGCGGCCATTTAACACGTGACTGCCGATATAGCTGCTATTTAATGACAACGCAGCGCGAGGAGGCCCTCCTATAATTATCGGTGGACCCGCTTCGGCGGACTTTGCATAAATTTATCTCGTCGAACAACGTCGGTATACTTCGTGAATACACGTGAATACATTAGGCGAACGAGCTCCCGGTCCGGATCCACCTCGTTATCGATGTCCCTTATCGTGTCGATTTTTGCCAGTCGATAATGCCGACTCATAATGGTTCGTTGATCTAACATTTGATTTGTTAAAAAAAAAAACTGAAACTGTGATCCGACAAGCAGTCTTAGAATTAATCGATTGATCGTATATATGTTACACACTGAAAACAAATTGTCAACTTGACTAAACCTCTCGACTGAATATTATTTTGTTGATTGAACAAATATTTAAATTAAATATAACATATAAAAAAAGAACTGAAACTGTGATCCGACAAGCAGTCTTAGAATTAATCGATTGATCGTATATATGTTACACACTGAAAACAAATTGTCAACTTGACTAAACCTCTCGACTAAATATTATTTTGTTAATTGAACAAATATTTAAATTAAATATAACATATTAATTAGATAAGAAATATTTTTGTCGGCTCTCAATATTAATAATAATAATTATTATTATTATGTTATACAAATTAATGTTATTATTATTATTATTAGAACATATTAAGTCTAACAAAATAATATCTTAGTTTTTTTAGTGCACGAAATACGGTTCAAAATTAAAACTTATTTTACAAAATAAAATTCTCTTTTTTTGTCAAATTAAATTCCACTCAAAAAATATTACCTATATAATATTTCTTTATAATTTTCAAAATAAATTTTTTTAAATTTATTATAATAAAGAGGTATGATTTTACATGCATATAAACACACGCTTTTCTCTCATACCGATCTCTCTTTTTTTCTCTTCTCTCGCAATCTATTGAAAATTTCAGGGTGGCGTAACCCTTTAATAACACACGCGAGCGATATTGATTGGCGGCCGAGATCGCCTACGAGCGCGACACGCGTCGATCATGCACAAGTTGCATAAGCGCATCCATCTGGGCAACGATCGGTGCATCTGGGTTACACGCGATTTATTGCGACGGTAGGCCACGGGATCGCGACGATTTATTCTCGCTTAATCCGCTTTACTCTCGCGCCGCACGTCTCGACTTTTGTTTCGTCATCCACGCGTTGTTTCATCGACGGCGATATATATAGGCACGCCTAGAGAGCAATAATCGATGGTAACCACTCCGTCAATGACATGGGGTGGAAAGGGGGATCCGACTAATTACTAGAAAGACAAATGCGCCCGCGTCTTCGGATCGCCCGCTTACATAAAAGCTTTCTATATCCGAGAGATGTCCACTTATATTTTATCTGTCGGCCGGATTATGTGTACACAAGAGAATATTACACACGTCACATACACACACACACGTGGTTATACACCGACTGACCGTAAAGGAAAAACAATTTGTGCCTCTCTTTTGTGAGAAAGCGAGAGAGAGAACTCATACGAGAAAGTATTTTAATCGAGTCCGTTCGATTCTACGCATATATTGAAACACGTTTATCATTTACATAAATATTGATGTTAAAAATATTCAAATTATTTAAATTGATCAAGATTACATATAGTGATATTTTATAATTTTTACAAATTTATATTATATTTATATTAATCACAAATTTGTGTGGCTATATTTTTTAGTCTTTTCTCTTCGAGAAATAATAATATTTATATATTTTAAAAGAAATGACTACAAAAAATAATAGAGAGATATAAATCTGTGATGGATGTAAATTTGCAAATTATAAATATATGTGTAATTAAAAAAAAATATATATATATATGTGTGTGTACAAATATTTGATATATATAATCTTAAATATATTTATATATAAAATAATAAAATACATATATAAATAATTTTAAAAAATAATTTATGTATATTATTTTGTATCGACTATTACTCTCGCGTTATACTCTTATAATGATTCGTTTATTGTCCCACTTCTCAATATATCAGTTGCTCGTAGTCGCATACAAATCTTGACGCTGTTGACGTGACTGAGAATTTAATGAAATGAGACATGCACAAGAGCGGGATCGAAAAACTAACTTTCTCACGAGTCTTCGCATGCATACCGTGACTTCGGTATCGCAGTGGCCTTCGCTACGTTTCCTTCGACACGTAATTTTCGACGTGCAATTATGTTCCCCGGGGGTTAAAGCCGAATCTTCATGTCGCGAATTTTCGTATCAAAATATACGGATCTCTCGATATATCTCAGAATTAATCTTCCACTTTATTTTTAGCTCTCTATAATTATATCCTTTCAGCGTCCGTAAACAACAATTAACAGAAATTATTATATGTATAAGAAAAATAATTCATTTTCAATTATACAACTTGTGTAAGAATTTCTATGATGATCTACACGGAGAGAATTTACCTTGAAAATCATGATGATCAATATGGTATTGGAAGATTTGTATAAGAGTTTCTCTGATTAATAAAAAATATCAATATGTATATAGTAATTTTACTATAATCAAATTAATCAAACATGTTTTATATCTTCTGGTACATATTAATATTTTTCCAATACCATATCGTTTCATAATTTTCAGGGAAAATTCAAAGAGAAAATTCTCCCCATATGTATACATAATCTATCCTGAAAATGAATCTTCGATCCAGACTTTCCCAAAACTATTCCTCACCGACCTAAACGACAATACACCGTCGTTTACCGTCCAGTCACCGACGACTCAATCCGATCCGAGAATGACCTTCGGCGAGCCACTTCTAATCGTCCACCTCTTGTTGCCGCAGGTCCGCGTGACGGTGCTGGATAAGAACGACGTGGCACCTTCGTGGGATCCGGGCCCGTGGAAATTCGAGATATCCGAGGAGTCGCCGCCCAACAGCGTTGTCACGGTACTCAAGGCCCACGATCCGGACACGATCGGTACACTGACTTACACGCTGGTGCCGAATCATCATCATCACCATCATCATCATCATCATCATCATCGTTCCGACAACCAGCCGTCTGCGGACGACGACGACGGTACGCAGAGGCAATTCAAGCTGCATCCGACCACCGGCCAGTTAAGACTCGCCGAGGCCGTCGACAGGGAAACCAAGGAGAGATATGTGCTTAGAGTGCGCGCTGATGATGGCCTGCAACATCGGGATATCGTGCTTAACATACAGGTAAGAATGCGATAGGATATAGCGGGGTATTCTAAAAATAAGTGCGAACTTTTTTAAGAGAATAATTAAGCCATTTTTTCAATGGACACTCATTATATTTTTTATATCTTGATATAGTTGGCTCCTCGTATATCTTCAATTGCTATTTTCGTTATACTTTAAACAATTTAACTTCTTTTAAAATCGCGATACACAGAATTTTCTATCTTAGAATTTATCCTGAAAATCATGGTAATCGTGAAACAATATATGGTATTGGAAGAATGTTATAAGAATTTTTTTGATTAATATTTACCACAATGAATATATTCATATCTACAATATGATTTAAAATAAGTTCGATGATATTTTTTATTGTGATCAATATTAATCAGAGAGAAATTCTCTCCGTATAAAGAACTCTAGAACTCTTCAGGGAAGCAAAACTTAATCATTTTTTTTAAATTTAAAGAATAGGGACCAACTTTAGGTTGATTAATTGATTACTATCACATGCACCAACTATCTTGAAAATTCCCTAGTCGTGAAATAGATGAGAAAAAGCGAAGAACACGGCCACTCTCTCCGAACGCATCGCGAAATATCGCAAATGGCATTCGGGGGATGGGAAAAGCTATAGTCTAAGATCGGTAGAGAGATCGGCCGATTGTTCCCGGGTATCGGAATGCTCGACGAGCGACGAGGGGTCAAGTCGATAATGCATTAGACACGTCCCCGTGCCGAAAGGTCGCCGACAACTTCCTTCTATAACTGTAACCTATTGCTTCATATCGTCGATTCCTCTCTTCTCTTCTTCTATTTATAAATATAATATAGCCTCGTAAAATAGAATTTGGTTGTTGTTCGACTGAAGAGACTCGACGTCGGCTAATCTCTCCTCGCTCGAAAGGATCAATTGCGCGGGTAACGAATGAAGGATCTCATGAGTAACGAATGAAGCATGAGTGAAGATATTCTCTCGTGAGAGAAAAGAGGAGGAGAGAGAGAGAGGGACGGAGAGATGTTAAATAAGCGCAGCGACGAATTAATTTATGGGTGTACTTACATGGGATATCGTTATTGCCGAGAGACGGCGAGACCAATTATACCGGTCAATTTAAAGGCAATCAATCTCTAACGGAATCGAGCTAGGCAACACGACACGGCACATAGTATGAAATTTGTCTAGTCTTCTCTACGAAGAGAAAGAAGATTCTTAACCGATTATATATTTTCCGACCGAAATAGTTTCTCTTCTGCCTTAGAATTATTTTTCTTTGATCCGAAAAAATGCATGTTCAGATAAAAAAATGTGTGGAATAAAAAAGAAAATTGACTCGATTTTTCTTGATGTGAGAAAAGTATAGTGTGTGTAGTTTTGAATTAATAATGTAGCACAAAATTAATTTGTCTAGTCTTCTCCACGAAGAGGAAGATTGAAGATTCTTAACCGATTATATATTTTCCGACCGAAATAATTTCTTTTCTGCCTTAGGGTTATTTTTCTTCGATCGGAAAAAATGCATGTTCATATAAAAAAATGTGTGGAATAAAAAAGAAAATTGACTCGATTTATCTCGATGTGAGAAAAGTATAGTGTGTGTAGTTTTGAATTAAAATAATGTAGCACAAAATTAATTTGTCTAGTCTTCTCCACGAAGAGAAAGATTGAAGATTCTTAACCGATTATATATTTTCCGACCGAAATAGTTTCTCTTCTGCCTTAGAATTATTTTTCTTTGATCCGAAAAAATGCATGTTCAGATAAAAAAATGTGTGGAATAAAAAAGAAAATTGACTCGATTTTTCTCGATGTGAGAAAAGTAAATTAATAATGTAGCACAAAATTAATTTGTCTAGTCTTCTCCACGAAGAGGAAGATTGAAGATTCTTAACCGATTATATATTTTCCGACCGAAATAATTTCTTTTCTGCCTTAGGGTTATTTTTCTTCGATCGGAAAAAATGCATGTTCATATAAAAAAATGTGTGGAATAAAAAAGAAAATTGACTCGATTTATCTCGATGTGAGAAAAGTATAGTGTGTGTAGTTTTGAATTAAAATAATGTAGCACAAAATTAATTTGTCTAGTCTTCTCCACGAAGAGAAAGATTGAAGATTCTTAACCGATTATATATTTTCCGACCGAAATAGTTTCTCTTCTGCCTTAGAATTATTTTTCTTTGATCCGAAAAAATGCATGTTCATATAAAAAAAATGTGTGGAATAAAAAAGAAAATTGACTCGATTTATCTCGATGTGAGAAAAGTATAGTGTGTGTAGTTTTGAATTAATAATGTAGCACAAAATTAATTTGTCTAGTCTTCTCCACGAAGAGAAAGATTGAAGATTCTTAACCGATTATATATTTTCCGACCGAAATAGTTTCTCTTCTGCCTTAGAATTATTTTTCTTTGATCCGAAAAAATGCATGTTCAGATAAAAAAATGTGTGGAATAAAAAAGAAAATTGATTCGATTTTTCTCGATGTGAGAAAAGTAGTGTGTGTAGTTTTGAATTAAAATAATGTAGCACAAAATTAATTTGTCTAGTCTTCTCCACGAAGAGGAAGATTGAAGATTCTTATTTTTTTTTATCAGAACAAAATGTATGTTCATATAAAAAAAATTTGTAGAATAAAAAAAGGAAATCTAATCGATTTTTCGCGATGTGAGAAAAGTATAGTGTGTATAGCTTTGAATGAATAATGTAGCACAAAACTAAAAATTGATTAAACATTGATTCAACTATTGTGTTACTTTGCGAAGGCGGATGGATCTGATATTTTTCAATTAATGGTAGTAGGTAATCGAAGGGGAAGAGACGAGGAAAGTCCGGGTGTATATACGGTTATAATGCCATATGCATAAGTCAGCGCTGTCTATCGCAACAAGCGATCTCGAGCAGAACAATGTTGCGCTATTGCGTATACCCGCGCAAGCATCACTCGGAAGATAAATCTACGATCGCTCGGCGACCAGCCATGCGGATTGCTCACACACTCATTCCGCACGTATAAATGCAACAATGGCGCACGCCCTCGTCTTAATGAAAAAGATCGAGTTCGTTTCTACGTGCGATTATGAAACGCCTCGAAAGATCGGTCATTGCGTCAGAATGAGAGAGAGAGAGAGAGAGAGATCAGTTATAAAAAAATCCGAGATTTTTATCAGAATTCCTGATCGGGGAGACAAGACAAATTTAGCCTTTAAATTGACGCTCTCTTACCTTATGTCTCGCAATAAGTTTCTCCATTTTTTTGTAAACAGATATTTTTTAAGAAATACATGTCCAATTTTTCAATTTTCAAATACAAAGCATTATATGAAAAAAAATCTTATATATATTATATGTATACATAAAATACAGAGAAAATTTATTCTTAAAATTTACTCTGAAAATCATGGTAATTGTGGGACAATATGGTATTGGAAGACTTTTATAAGAGTTTGATTAATTTTACTATGTATATATTAATATTTTTTATTGTAGTAAAATATTAATCAGCAAAACTTACAAAATTCTTGCAATATCATATATATTGTTCCACCAAGATTTTCAGGGTAAATTCTAAGAGAAAATTCTCTCCGTGCATAATATAATACATATATAATACTTATAATATGTATATATATATATACTTATGTATATATTTAATATATCATTTTCGACCCGCAATTACTTATTGCGCGAGGAATTATTTTCTTTTCGGGGTTGAATTACGCTTTCCGCCCTCCCACGCTATCGCCGCTTAAATTATCGCTTTAATGAAGTGTCAGCATTGGAGAACCGCTTAAGTCGAGTCAGACAAAATCACAAAATATTCACAGCTCCGTTCAATAACTCCGATCCTTCTATCGTGAGGCGTTCTCGGGTATAAGAGAGTATATCGCGCGCATCCCGCCTTATAATTCATTACGCGGCTCAACCGGGAGAGGCGATAAAAAACGCGAGCCGGCCGTTTAACGAAGCCCTCGAAGAAGATGAGGCCCTGACCACCGGGTCGGGGCTCCTCGGAGACAATCGCAAAAATTATTTTTATGATGCGTAATGGCTGGAATTCTTTTAAGGACCTCTTTGCTTGCCGCTCGTGCCCGGCTATTCTATCCTTAAAGGCGCAAGGAAGAGAGAGGAATGCTGGCTGGACCTGATCATAGCTCGAGCGCGACCCAGCGGTTTCGGCTTTTCTCCGTTGAAAGACCGAGGCCGCTCTTCTCTATTGGCCGACAGTCGCGGAATCTGCCCCTTCTGCCCTCTTATATCTGATCCCCTTGTACCGTTCTTTCTCTCTTCACCCATCATCCGTGTTCTTCTCCCGCTAACCTTCACCATTTCTTTCTCGACCGACCTTATCGAACCCCTTGGAGAATCTCTTCTTCGATTCTCTCCCCCTGACCTCTTCCTCTTCTCCTCCATCTTCTCTTCCCATCGTTCATCCTTCGGAGTCATCGAGGAAGAAAAGAATGAGACGGAGAAGCGACAGCGCTACCAGAATAATTCCAACTATGTTTAAGTACTCTCTCTCTGTTCTCCGTATTCAAGAATTTTATTTAAGGAATTGTTTAAAGAATATTTATTTCGATTCAAAGAATAATATGTGTTATTATAGCACTTTGCTATATTTATGAAAGGCGAAATTAGAGGGAAATTAGAATTAATTAATATGTATTTTTTGCGGACTTAAATATGAATTATATTAAGATTATATTTCAAAAAATATTTACGCTCATTTCGCTAATTTCTGAAAGTATTGAGACCTCACTTTTCTGCAATTATTACACAGAAATTTTTTTTTTAGAATTTACCCCGAAAATCACATGGTGGGACAATATGGTACTAGAAGAATTTCTATATAAGAGTTTCTCCGATTAATATTTTTATCACAATAAAAAATATTAATATTTTTTGTTATGCTAAATATTAATCGCAGAGGGAAACTCTTATATAAAATTCTTCCAATATTATATTGTCTCACGATTATCATGATTTTTGGAGTAAATTCTAAGAGCAAATTCCGTATAATTGATCTCCTTTATTATGATTAAAAATAATTATATATATAATATTTTTATTTGGGCCCATCTACTACTTCCCTTTTGAGCTGATTGTGAGACTTGAAGCATCTCTTTCCTCCTCAACTCCTACCCAGTCCCAGATTCTTGTTCTTCATCTTCTCTTTCCTACTTGCCGGCACACACTCCTCGTCATCCACTGTCGTCTCGAGACACCGTCGCTTTTTGCAAACGGTCTCCGAGCCCTCCTTAATCAAACCGCGTCCACCTTATTCTATACTCCGATCTCCGGAAAACTTGGAGCATCCTCGAGTTATCTCTAGAGACACGCGTCAATCTGTAGTATCATCTTTTAATTATTTCGTAATTAGTTTTATTGTAACATCAAATAAAATTAGAAATTATAGGTGAAACTTGATTACTTTCACGTAGCAATGATAACGAGTTTTTCCTGTTCATAATAAATTCCGTAATAGAGATATATGTAACATAAATACCGGTTCTCTCTCTCTCTCTCTTCTAAATTTATATATATGATTCATATTGTATATAAATATAGAAATATTGTATATATAATTTTCTTAGATCTCTGGTACACATAGGATGAGGAACAAGAGAAGAGAGAAAGATGTTATCCTCAAGCGAACGAAATAATTAACGCATAAATAGTCAACTTCCGTTAACGACGTTGTTGAATTACAGACGTTTCACAAGCCTCTTTTTAGCATGACAAAAAAAAATAATATGCGAAAACGTTATCGCGATGTCTAGTTTCCGTCCTCGATTTACAGGAGAGATAAATTAAATTAAATTATATTCTCCGCGCATTAGAACAGCCGCGTGCACGATTTCGCCACGCGGAAATATATAGAATAATTTACATATCCGTATATATAATTTACATGTGTACGCGAGATTAGCGTAATTGCCGAGGTATCATTTATTGTTTAAATTATTGCACATCCGTGTTTTTGGCAGAGAGAGAGAGAGAACCGACCGCTACTCGTTTTAGTTTGATAAATGCGCGAAAAATGTAAATTTTTCCCACCTTCTCTCTCAAATTGCAAAAATGTAAAATGTAAATCTACCGCTCGCTTCTTCGAATTCAAATTTCTGATTCTATTGGACGATAAAAGAAGGACGAAATTGAGGCGTCGTGTGAAATTTATCGAATAAATGAAGAGATGACGTTAACCGCGCCTTGGATCCATTATATCGGATTATTTGTAGAATTATTAAAATCAATTTCAATTTTCTGCCACATTATGTTTGATATTCTGTTTACTTATGTCTCTTCATTATGTCAATTTTTCAAATGTATTCTCAATTATATAAGAATACATTTCAAATATTGACATAATGAAGAGACACACACAGGTAAATGAGATACATGTTATATATGTATACAATATTTAATACATAATATATATAACATTTATCTAAATAATAGTTTTACGAAAAATCTTCACAAGTATTATTATTGTGCATTTTTGCAATAACTTGCACGTTTTTAAATTAATTAAACAATCATACACGTATATAATTATAAGAATACATTTTAAAAATTGACATAACGAAGAGACATATATGTATAATATTTATTTAAAATAATATAGTTTGACGCAAAATCTTCACATTAAATTCCTATATATTTTTTTATAGCTCGCACGTGTTTGAATTAATTAAACAATCATAGGATGACTGGGCGGAAAAATGTGTGATTAAATTTTTCGATTTCTTACATAAAAGCGTTATAACGTTATACGTGATGAAAATGATATTTATATACCGATGCTACCTATTCTCTCCTTCCTTCTTGATCGAGGACCGTCCTTTCCCGTCATCTTCCACCTTCCATACCGCCGCCGATCGATCACAATGAGCGCATTGTTACATGGATAAATAGCCCGCGGAGTCCTGAGAATGTTTTCTTCTCGCGCTGGGGCTACCGCGAGGGAGCGAGGTAACAATAATTCGATGGCGAACGAGAGACGCGAATATTTCCGGTGGCGGCGGTGTTTATCTAAGAATGACGTCGAGTGCGCGCGCGCAAGATTCGAGCCGATTTTATTCCCCCGAGTGTTTATTTTAAGATCGGCACTCGGTTTCCGGGTCTATTAAGAGGCGTGCGTAAATCTACTTCGCGTTCACATATATATATATAAAAGGACGAAAGGTGCGCGCACGAAATGAAAGCAACTCAGTGTGTCCTTTGAAAGGAACGAGTCCTCGTGCGGAGGAATTCCTGGAAAGGAAGTAGAAAAATTGCGTTTAAACATTAGAGATGAAAAATGTTCACGACATCCCAGGGAAACATCGAGGGGGTAACCACTAGCTAAAATGTTGTCCCACAGATTACATGATTTCATTTGATTTCATGATTTCATCTGATTATAAATGATTTCATCTGATTACAAATGATTTCATCTGATTGTAAATGGATTTTTTTCATTACATATGAAATCATTTCATAAAAGTAATGATTTCATCTGATTACACAATGCATTTTCGTGATTGCACATGTAATCATTTAGGATTTTATGTGACACATAAAATTATAAATAGCATTTTATCTTGAATTTGATCGCAATTTACTACGGAAAGTGCTCGTGCCACACATGATTTCATCACAGATTTCATAATGATTACACATGATTCCAATGATTACACGAAAATTCAAAATGATTTCTGCTGACTACATGTGATTTCATTATGATTTCTAATGATTCCGCATGATTTCATTTGACTTTATCAATTACATCTGATTGCAAACGATTACACGGGATTTCATAAGGATTTCATAAGGATTTCGGGGACACTGTCCCACGATTACATTAAGTGGTTACCCTCTCGGTAAACATACAACTTTGCTTTTTTTAATAGCAGCTGCTGGGCATCGAACATTCCTCTCCGTTATTTTAGGAGGTTTTCAAAGACAGAGGGACCTTTTAATTCATCATTGAAAAATTAATTCGTTCCTCGCAGGTTACCGACACTAATGACAACGCGCCGACCTTCCAAAGCACGGCCTATTCCTTCGACATCCCGGAGAACATGCCGAGGGGTAGCCGCGTGGGCCAGGTCGTCGCGACGGATGCCGATGCGAAAGGACCCAACAGTCAGCTGAGTTACGTCCTTATCTCCGACTGGGCGAACGACGTGTTCTCCCTGAATCCGAACACCGGAGTATTCTCTCTCACCGCGAGTCTCGACTACGAGCAGGTTGGTAGACCAAATTTTCTTTTAATTTATTCCGAAATGCATCGTAAAAATGGTGGGACAATATGGTATTGAGAGAATTTTATAAGAGATTTTTCTCTGATTAATATATAATATTTACCACAAAAAATATTAATATCTATCACATAAGATATAAAATATGTTTGATTAATTTTATTAAAATATATAATATATAAAATATAGTAAAATTTCAATAATTTTGAAATAATTAAAACCTGTATTAAAATCTTATAATTTTTCAAGTGTTTTAAGTAGATGTCAAAAAAGTGATTAACATATAGAATATTTCATATAAATTTTAACATGCAGCATGGTAATTTTTGGCTTTTTACCAAACATGATAAAATTTGCAATAAATTTTGCGGTAAAAATATATAACGAAAAATTCGTATTTAAGAGAAGGATTGCATGTTGATTTTTTTGACGAATAAAGTTACAGATGATTATCTGTAAATCAGATTTCTCCCATTTCCATATATCGGACTTGTTATTTATATCCAAAGAAAGATTTGAATTTTGCATGAATCTCGTTTCTCCCAGATTTTAAATATTGAAATTAATGGTTTATATTCGTGTATATATATTTTTCAATGAATCAGTCTGGCAGCCGGATTTTCGTCGGAAGATGACAGTGTTAATAAAGTTATCGTCGACGATGATTATTTGTAAATCAGACGACGATTATTCGATGCCGGATTACATCCCTTTCGATTCGGAGTCTTTATTTATTAATAGAAAAATTTGAATCTTTCATGAGAACGGGTTTCTCTTCATGATTATAAATGGTTCATAAACTTGTTCGAAGAAATCTCTTAATACTTCATGACGTCTGAAGTTTCGTCGGTCGTCAGATATTGAATAGACAGGATTCGATTGAAAAATATTTTTCTTTAATTTGACATTACTCTCTCGCGACTTTCTACTTATTATTTCACATAGAAAGAGAGAGAAGAAATATGCTATTAAATAATCCAGCAATCCAGAACATGTTCATGAACTGGAACGAGAGACAATGCCGGATGATTCCGAAGTCATATATGTTTACATATCAATATACTATAGATACGTCCATCATAACGGTCGGTATGGATGCAAAAGGGTTAACTGCGGCCTGTCGAGATGAAGTTTCCGTTTGGATCATGGTCGGAACTAAAAGACGCTTAAAAAACGCGTTGGCCGCCCGGGGCAGCGATTATAATCACGAACACCACCTCTATATTCAAGCGCACCATTATATTATCCGGAGCGAAGGGCAAAACGCTAGAATTTAGGGTTTAACGCTATAACAGTCGAACAACAGATCGAAGAACAGACAGTCTTTAATGACGATCTCTCTGCATTTCGGAGACGAGCCGTAGTTAGCGAACTTTCGCTTTACGGATCACGCCAATAGCGTAACTGAGATTTTATAGGAAAAAACTCGCGATAATCTTCTAGAAGGAAAAGGAGCTAATTACACAGTTCGATGAGAAAACAAAAAAAGGGAATAATCGTTTAATTTTTTTTACGCTAAATATAATTCCCACTATTAAATTATTCCATCAGATCACAAGAAATTGAGAAATTTGCGTGATTAAAATTGCACAAATGAGTTATTTTAATAGATCTTATAGCTAGAGATAAATCGGAGAAGTTTTGTTGAAATTAAAAGTTAAGTATAAAGAATTAAGTAAAGATTAAAAAATAGTTATTCTCTTTTATGTGTTTAAAAAAAATTATTTCTTGTTGATCTGCGTTATTAATACGAGAGGGTTTCAAATAAAAACATTGATCGTTGAGGTGAAGATATTAATTATTAAATATTATGTTCTTAAATCTTAATTTATAAGCTTTTATTTGAAAAATAATAATTCTTTGTTTACCAAAGAAATGATTTTTTAGACCTGCCTAATGTGTTTTAATTGACTTTTCTTCTTTCAATAAGAGTATTATTATATAAATTAATTTTGTAATAATATTATCGACGATATTTTTTATGCAATCCTTGGCTACGCCACTGTTTTACGCTTTACGATATGTATGTGTAAGATGAAAATTAGGTGTGTATTGGTGCAGCTTCTATGGAAAAAAGACGAAGGAGGAAGATGAGGGAAAGTGCAAGCGAGAGGAACGAGATAAGGGTAGCTTATAGAACCCTTCATCAACGTAATGCTCTTTCAGATACACGCCAACATCATTAAGGGGCTACGGAATACGCGTGTGTATCGGAAACAAAGAAAATAGCGATCGCGCCGAAACAGACATTTTAGTCCTTCCCCGCAAAACGATTAATTATGGGTCTCTTAAAAGGATCTGTTACGAATCGATTTACGATAGTTGAATGAAAGTTAATTTCTCGCAATTTCTCGAAACACAAAACGTAGTTTCATTCTTTCAAAGAGAACTCCACTTTTTCGTCTCCTCATATATTTTTTCAACGCAACAATATAAAATGTTCAAAGAAATATTAAACTAATTGTAAAAATAGCGCTAAGCAATATATACTGATGCCAACATTTATTTAATAAAAATTATTTCAATGTGCGTTAGTTTTTTTTAATTAAATTCAATTTTTCTTTAGTGTCAAAATCTTGAGGAAAATAACATATTTGTTACGAATAATATAATTTTTTTAGTAATAAAAGAAAAAGATAAGTAAAACAACTACTTCATTATAAAAATTTATTATATTATGGTTGTAGAAGAAATAAAGAGGTTGACTCTCTTCGTTTTTTCCAGTGTCCAGAGTTGTCTATCTGTCACATAAAAAATCGTAATGGATCATAAAGAACGTTTTTTTATCATGTTTAATAGTTTCGTGGGGAGAGAACAGCTTGTAACGCGAGAAACAGACACATCCTGTGTAGATTATATTATTCACCTTCGTTATATTAAATGATCTTTATGTGTCTTGTCTCTACAGGTGCAGCACTACATCCTCGTTGTTCAGGCAACAGACGGCGGCGTGCCGGTGCTGTCGTCCACCGTGACAGTCTACTGCAACGTCGTCGATCTGAACGACAACGCGCCGATCTTCGAGACCGGACCGCACGCAGCTGACATTATGGAAAACGCGACAGTCGGCACCCACGTGCTCACCGTGGTTGCCCAGGATCTGGATTCCGGTGACAACGGCAAGATCTTCTACACCATCACTGGCGGCGACGAGGACGGGAGCTTCGGGGTGGCACCAAACGGCACCCTCTTCACTCGTCAACCCCTCGATCGCGAACGTAAGCCCCTCTACAATCTGGTACTGAGCGCCACTGACAGTCCCTTGCCGCCAGCTCGGCCCTTGTCTTCCACGGTGCAGGTTTGTGTATCATTTTTTTATATATGCAGAAACACTTATACATTCACATATGTATATATATATATACTTGTTTTAATCTTCTTATATGAATAAAGAATTATTTTTTCTCAATTTTCTTATTATTATAGCATAAATTTCAATTACTTTTCAAATAATTTCAATATACTTATTATATAAATATCACATATATTAATTTATACATAATATATGTATATATTCTTTTTTTTACAATTTACTTTTGAGGTATGTTAAAAACTTATATAAGAAAAAATATACATATATATATAGACATGTATTTATGAATATAAAGAAAAGATGGAGTCCATTATCTTCTCGTTTGATAGGTGACAGTGATGTTGCTGGACGTGAACGACATGTCGCCAGAGTTCATATCGCCCACGAAGATATCGATAATTGAGAATGCTCCTAGCAATACGGTAGTGATGGTGATAAAGGCCGTCGACCGGGACGATGGTCGAAACGGTTATGTCGAGTATATGCTCGAGGACGACGACTTGCCGTTCACTTTAGGTCTGGTGGATGGACTGCTGCGCGTTTCCGGACCGTTAGACCGCGAACAGAAATTCAATTACACCTTGGGGATCATCGCCAGGGATCGCGGCGAGCCGCCGAGATCATCGTCGACCACCGTCACCGTCACGGTGCTCGATGAAAATGACAACTCACCGGTGTTCGATCCCAGGCAATACTCCGCCACTGTCGCCGAGAACGCCAGCATCGGCGCCAGTGTGATCCAGGTCAGTAAAATCCTTGTAATCTGGAAGAAATTGGATAGGAATCAAGAGATACCAGAGATACTTTGCAAAGTTCAAAGCATTCTATTTATTTAATTTTATCTTTTTTGTTTTTATTAAATATCTTTGTATATATCTAAATCTCTTACATTAAAGTTTAATTTTATTCAGTTACATTTTTCATAATATTTATAGTCAATAAGTATTTTAAATTATATCTTTAATTATTTTTTTGTGTCTTTGTCTTTAAAAAAAATTGAATTATAAACTTTTATATGAATAAAGAATAATTTTTTCTTCTAAATTTTCTTATTATAACAATTCTAATTATATTTGTTATATCAACAACTATCACAAAAATATTAACTTCTACGAAATGCATGTTCGCGGCATGATATAATATTCATTAACAAAAAAAAATAGGAAGAGAAGAATTTTTTCAAATCGTTTTTCCCTCGACCTCAGGTATCGGCGATGGACCGCGACGAGGGTGCAAACGGCAGGGTGCGATACAGCATTGTTATGGGAGACGACAATCGTGACTTCACTATCTCGGAAGACGGCGGCGTGATCCGGGTGGCGAAAAACCTGAACTTTGAACGCAAACCTTCCTATCACCTGACAATCCGTAGCGAAGATTGCGCCGCGGAAATAGGCGAGACGCCGCGCACCGACACCACCAAAGTCATCATCACCGTCCTCGATATCAACGACAACGCGCCGGTCTTCCTCGACTCGCCCTATCTCGCCCACGTTATGGAGAACATGGTGCCGCCAGGAGGAGGTTTCGTGATACAAGTACGTATACGTAAATTTTCAAGTCAAGTGACATTCCTATTGTCAGATTAACTCGCGACAAGTACAATTTTTTGGATAGATGAGAAATTTGATATGAAGAGGGCTAATAAGAACCAGTAAATTTGTTTTTAAATTTCTCTTTAATTATTTTGAACGTTTTCGTTCTTTTTCTCTTTTGGATCATCTTCAACATTCGATTATATAAGAAAATTTACGTGTCTTGAATAGCTAGGACGAGGGTAAGAATTAATATATAGTAATGTCTGGCTTTTATTAACTCTTTTCATATTTTATTTTGTACTTCAATATCAGAGCCTTTTTATTTATTATTTTTGACGAGAAATTTCGTGGTAACTTTAATAAATAAAACAATTAAAAAATTTAGATATTCTAAATATATATGTGACTCTCTGTATCTCATCTTCGCACAAATTGCGATTATTTTAACGAGAGAGAGAGTTAAAGCGTTTTTTCGTCTATTTAAACCCAAGGTTAAGGCGTACGATGCGGATACCCCACCGTACAACGATCAAGTCAGGTACTTCCTGAAGGAGGGCGACACGGATCTGTTTCGTATAAATGCCAGCACCGGTGACATATCACTCCTTCGACCATTAGACAGAGAATTGACGCCAGAATATACGCTCACCCTAGTGGCTATGGATACCGGTGAGTCAGTTTTATCTATTTTAAACATCCGGCCGTGTATAGATAAGAGGAAATTATATTGTAAGAAGACAGCTACATTAACGCACTCGGGGGTAGTTTATTTTAAGATCACGGGCCATATATGAGAGATTTCTTGCTAGAAACATATCTTGATGATATATTAATTATTTTTTAAATCGCTATCTGTTTTTAATCTGAAAAATATATGTTCCGAGCAATTATTTAATTTTCATTTTAAATTAGTGGAATTATTAGTAGAAACGCTTGTGTTCTAAGGGAAAGCCACATTCTATTAGACTTTACTGTCTTATTTTGCGATGCGACTTGTTATTACTCGCAGTCGCATGTTCGCATTAATTCTTTATACGAACCATATAATCGGCCATCCATCAATCGACAATCCTGCGAAATGTCATCTGTTCAGTAGCTCTACAGCGCAGCACATAGACGAGAGGAGACGATAGACGATGTACGGCGGTGGGTTTAAGTAATGAGCGGTAATATACAAATTGGATATAAATTTGTGGGTTGTTCGATGAGATTCTTTAAGCGGTGGGCAGTTCCTCCCCCTTAAACGCTCCTTTTCTTTCCTTTTTTCCTCCTTCCTTCCTCTTATAGAAGCCAGTAGTCCTCCCCCGGTTCCCTTCCTCGGCCTTCACCCCTTCTCTCTCTATCTTCCTCTCCCGTTCCGCCCTCGGTCGCGATGGCTCGGATGGCCCAATCGGTCCCCGACAAGGTAGACAGGCCAGGCAGAGTTATGACGCGCGATTATGATAATCGGTCTCGAATACCTTCCTCGGCGCGCTGCATCTCTCCTTCTCAGCCTGGCACTCCCGTTCGACCGCGGGCCTTATTCCCCACCCCGGTGTCTATCTTACCCTCCGTTTCGGTTTTTTTTTTCTCGCGTCTCTTCGCCTCTCGCCTCCCTCTCATCCATCCTTCATCCCCTACCCACTCTTCTGTCCAGTCGCGCGCGTTTCGGGTCTTCTTGTCACTCCCTCCTCTTCGTCTCCGCTCCGAGAGCCGCGTGCGTCTTTCAGATACTACCTGTGCGAGGTACTCGTTCATTATATTCTACTTTATTCATATACCGCGCACTCTTGGGCCGCGTATTTTTATCTCGTATTGGCGGCGAATCCAAGAGTCCGGAGCTCTTGCGAGCCCTGCAGCGTCTCTGTATTAGATGTTGAAGAATTCTTCTCTTCCCTCTTCTAATTGTTACATATATTTTTATTATATTTATATATTTTTTTTTTTTTATTTGTGTTATTATTGTAGTCTGTAAGGCTAGAGTCTTGTATCTTGAAAACTATTTCTTAAAATTCTTTCAAGAAAACAAAATATTGCTTTTAGCTTAGCTTCCTCCTGATATTTGTCTTAAGATATGTATATTAGATATAAACAGAATTCTTCAGTCTTATACACCTTGAAAACTATTTCTTAAAATCCTTTGAAGAAAAAAAGTATTGCTTTTTCATCTTAGCCTCTTCCTGATATTTGTTTTAAGAAAGAGGCTGATAGTATCTCCTTAAAAATACTCCTAATCAGCCGAACTCGAAATCTCATTCTGTGGAAATCGGCGAGTAAAAGTAACGAGGCGGTCGCTTCATTACCGGAATTAGACGGAAAGCAAATTATGCGGTTACTCGTTATGCAAAGTAGGTCATTTTTTCAGACTGTGAACCTCTGGGAACCCGCTCGTTTGTTCTCTCTACATTTACACTACATCATTGTGCGCGCCGCGATTGTTACATTCCGCTCTGCATGGTCTCTCATTCTTTTTTTCTACTACGCATTTCCTTTACTTTCATCGGCTATAATTGCTATCGTCATTCTTACATCTCTATATAGTCTCTCTTGACTCTTTTTATACCGTTACTTCGCGATAGATGAATCATTAATCTTGCGGAACCGACCGAAATATTTAGAATTCACGAACCAACAATTTAAGTATATAGAAACAATTTATTAGAGTCTTATAACTCGCAACTTATATACATCGCAATTTTAGATATGCAATGTCAGAATATTCAATTTTTAGAACAATCAAAAAAATTATTGCTTAATTCTTGATGATGATATTTTTTATTTTTTATCCTCCCAAAGTGTTACATTTTCTGGAGGGAGTATGATATTGCAAATTAACGCTCTTGCGAAATTTTTAATAAAAATTATTAATTTTTATCTTTATAATTGTCAGATGTCTTATAAGCAAGTCAAGAGCAGAGGATTCTGCAACTATTTTTATAACGCGTTTTTGTAATACAGGGTGTAAATGTAGGTCGTTATTTATTTGTTCAGGAGCATATTCCATTCATCAAAACGAGCAAAAAGTGTTCGTATAAACGTATATCCAAAAATGATTTTTTAATTGCCTCTTCCTCTTGTCAGCACGTTTTGACAGGTGCTGCTTATACAATTTATCCATTTAAAAAATGACTTATTTTAAGACATGAGAATTATTTTCTATTATTTTTCATCATTAAAAATAAAATACTACACTTTGTGTAAATCTCAAGTATTCACTCAAACTATTTTTAATTACCTCTTTCTCTTGTCAGCACGTTTGACAAATTCCGCTTACACAATTTGTTCATTTAAAAAATGACTTATTTTAAGATATGGGAATTATTTGATCTATTATTTTTTGATTTTATAATTTTATCATTAAAAATAAAATAATATTATACATTTTGTAATTATTTTTTACGGGCAAACTTTTATCAACTTTGTTGCTCATATATATCAATGAATAAAATACGCGTTCATCAAGTAGGAATTTACGACACACCCTGTATGTAACCAATCTGTATTCTTACGAGATATTTACCCTAGAACATGATAAATACGGTTTCAGAGTCGCACAGTCTCTCTTCCTCTCTCCTGCTTCTCCGACTCTCCTCGTGATTGAACGGTGTACGTCTGTGGCCCTGGGCTACGCCAACGCTCTCGCCAGGTACCACGTATATACCTGGTGCGCAATCAGAGAAATCGAGTCTCCCCTTTCTTCCCTCTCCGCTTTCGCCCCTCAGGAGAGTAATGGCGCGTTTTAGGCGGCGCAATTAAGACTTTTCCGCCTGTACTGTAACGTCGTTACTCCCGGTATCTCAATCCGTAAATCATAAGCGGTAGCACAATGGGCATCGTGTGTAGAGAAATGCATGTATGTGTCGCGTCTAAGTTATCTGGCCGTTATCTCGCTGTAGCGCACTTCCGCGAGTTAGAAAAGAAAGGAAAGAGAGAGAGAGAGAGAGAGATCGCTTTTCCTTACCTATCCGCGACCTCAATTATCTCGTTACACCGCCTTTTAATCTTGTGCGAGCGGCTTCTCCAAAGAGAGGAACAATCGGGAATCATTTTCGTCGGATACGAAATTATGAACGAGAAAATTTTTAGGTTTTTCGCAGAACGCAATTCTTATTCAACGAAAATGTCAATGTCAAAAACATATGATCTCGATTTATTATATCAACTCATTTTAGTGTGAATGAAACAGTGCATTCTGATGGACTTTAAGTAGTTGTTTAAAATTCTGCAATTAAAAAAAGTATAATCTTGCAATAAGATAAAAAATGCCAAGTCTTCTAGCTTCAAGCTTCTTTCATCATCTACGTATTCTTCAATTTCATCCCAATTCCTGATCAATTTCCCAACGACAGATGAAGAGAAGCGACAATTTTTGCCGATATATCGTTCGTTGAAAATATATTTCACATACGCGAAAAGAATTTTTTCTTAGAATTTACCTTGAAAATCATGGATAATTGTTATAGTATTGGAAGAATTTTGTAAGAGTTTCTCTGATTAATATTTAGCACAATAAAAAATATTATCGAAGATATTTTATATTTTATGGTGGTAGAAATTTAATATTTTTATTGTGGCAAATATTAATTAAAGAGACTCTTATATTTATTGTTTTATATTACCATGATTTTCAGGGTAAATTCGAAGAGAAAATTCTCTCTGTGTACAATGTACACAGGCTACAAGTTTTAAATCACTTCATTTGCTATAGAGTCAAATCGTCTCTCTCTCGCGGAGCTCTGTAATAATATTCTGTTAAAATTATAGCCCTGGTTTATATACCTTCTGTTTGGACCGATTTAAACCGTCATAAAGGAGGCTCGCGAGAGGTAGGCCGTAAATTTAGCGAAATAATCGCGCCACTGACCCAACTACGGGATCGAAATAGCGATAAAAGCGAAAAAACCTAGCTAGAGCAGCGACAGAACGTGGTGGCGGTTGTCTTTATGGCTGTTCGACGACTGAACACACGACTGAAATTTCACATTTTGCATTTTCTCCCCTCAGGTTCGCCGCCTCTTACTGGATCGGGCATTGTCAGGATCGTCGTCCTCGACGTGAACGATCATAATCCCGAGTTCGCCAGACAGGACTACAAGGCCACCGTGATAGAGAACATGCCCGCTGGAACCTGGGTCACCAAGCCGCAAGCTACGGACAAGGACGAAGGACTCAATGCAAAAATAAGGTAGGTGTTATGTAATTAAGCGGAGATTGAAAGTATAATTCTATTTTAGAAATAGAAGCTCAGGTTTGATTATGCTGAGGATGTATTATTTAATTTTTTATTTTAATTTTAAAACACTTATTTTTTTTTTATAATTTTATATAAGAAATTTATTACGCAGTAACAAAAAATCTTAAAAAATGTAAATTAAAATATGTAATATTTAACATTAATTTTAATACTGATTTTTAGAATTATTGTAAATAAAAGGTTATATAATTAATTAAATTTCCCGACAGATACCGCCTACTTGGGGACAAGGCAGAACGGTTTTCTGTCGATTCAGATACGGGTGAAGTATTCACTACGATGCCGTTAGACCGCGAGCAGACTGCTGTGTATCATCTGACCCTAGTTGCCCGAGATTCGAGTCCAACGGAGCCACGTGCCTCTACTGTCAATCTGACTATCTTGGTGACGGATGCAAACGACAACGCGCCCCGCTTCTCCAATAAAGATTACGAGGTCTTCATTCCTGTCGGAATCAAATCTGGTAAATAAGATCTTTCTGACAACAGTAATAGCCAAATATATATAATGTGTTTTGATTTTATTTTAATTAAAAGAAAGAAAATACTGACGCTGAGTTTTTTCTTCCACGTTTAAAGGTGACTTCGTGTTCGGAGCGAAAGCGACTGACAACGACGACGGCGAGAATTCGCGAATCGTTTATCAACTGCAGGGCGTAGATGCCGATCAGTTCACCATCAACCCCGACAATGGTGTGATACGTACCGTTCAAGAAGTCAAGCAGTCTAACTATTATCTGCAGATTCAAGCGTCAGACTGCGGCGCTGAACCTCAGCACGCCACTGCCAAACTGAAGATCATTCTGTGGGAGCGAACTCTGTTTCCTATTTTTCGACCGAACGTCAACACGAGATTCACTCTGCCAGAAGACGTACCCGAGGGCAGAGTGATCACCAAGATAAACGCATTCTCCCCGAAGAGCCAAATAACGACGAACAACATAATGTACGTCATGGCGGGTGGAAACGTGGGAGACGCTTTGAGAATCGATCCTCACACCGGAGAGGTAATTGAGATTAGATGTGTCTTCGAAAAGAAATTCGAAAAACTCGATTTTATCTAAAATTATTATTTTCAAAACTATTTATTACGAGGGATTTTTTTATTTAGGTTTTGGTCGCGTCTGGTTTCGATTACGAGACGGCACCGCACTACGAAGCCTGGATCGAGGCTAAAGACATAGACGCGCCCACGCTGCATAGCGTTCTACAGCTCTTGATGAATATCACGGACGTCAACGATAATGCGCCGGTGATGGAGGCGGCTATTTACAACGCCACCGTGCCCGAGGGCGAGTATGGACCGTTGTTCGTCTGCAAAGTTGTTGCGAAAGACCGAGATTCCGGCGAGAATGGCCAGGTCACGTATCACCTGGTCAACGACTTCTCCGAGACTTTCATCATCGACAGCAACACCGGACAGATTGACACCAACATCCTACTGGATCGCGAAGAGGTACATAATTACAGCTACATTTGAATAGCTTAAACTTATTTACAACTACAATGATAATATACCGCTTTTTATATAAATAATAAACAAGGAAGATATATATAATTCGCTGTGAGAGCCTATCGCGGATGATGTACATAGAATTCAGATCTCAAATTCGAGATTGTTTCTCAACAAGTCTTAGCAACGGCTAAGCAAATTTCGTGCTTCGTGCACTTATATAAAGACAACGAAAAATTAAATTTTCGTCGTCTTCGTGCGTGTACATCCGCGATAAGCTCTCACAGCGAATTATATATCTTTCCTTGTTTCTTATTTACAACGTTATTTCAGAAAATAATAAAAAATTATAAGAATATCTTATATATATATATATAATTATAATTACGTAATATATATATAAAATTATAATTACTTAATTAATTTCTCGTATGTCTTTTAGATCGCGTCCTACGAGCTGATTGTAGAAGCCAGGGATCAAGGTCACCCACAGTTAACCGGCACCACTACCGTGTTGGTGACCGTTTTGGACAAGAATGACAATCCGCCGCATTTCACGCGACTCTTCAGCGTCAACGTGACGGAGAACGCGGAGATCGGCACGTTCGTCATACGCATCACCAGCAGCGATGCGGACATTGGCCAAAATGCGAATGTCAGTTACAGCTTCACCGACAATCCGGGAGAGAAATTCTCCATCGACGCTCTGAGCGGAAACGTGACTGTGACTGGACACCTCGACAGGGAGGAGCAGGACGAGTATCTGTTGAAGGTTAAAAATTGGCTTTGATTTTTAATTTAATATTTCAAAAATCATTTGTTATTTCTCGTAGAAAATATCACGTCCTGAGTCATGTTCGTTGAAAGTTATTTTATGAAGCTCTTCGTTTATTTTACACATTTCAATTAAAATTATTTTGATCTACCATCTTCCAACTTTGTTGCAGGTTGTAGCAGCAGACGGTGCGTGGCGAACGGAGACCGCTCTTACGATTACCATTCAAGACCAGAACGATAATGCGCCGGAGTTTGACGAGAATGTCTATCACTTCCACTTTCCCGAGCTTCAGCCGGCGGTGGTCCACGTCGGCCAGGTCGCGGCGATTGATCGCGACAAGCAGGGACCTAATTCCGTCATATCTTACAGTCTGCTGCAACCGTCCGATCTTTTCTCCGTCGATCCGGCGACCGGTGATATCTGCAGCAAACGCACTCTGCGTTATAAGCATTCCAATCGACTGTCTTCACCGGAAAACCTATACTCATTAACAGTAATTGCAACAGATAATGGCAAACCACCTATGTCATCGAAAACAGTGGTGCATGTGAATGTGGTAGACGCCAACAACAACGCGCCTCGGTTTGAGCAAAGATCCTATCTGTCACCGGTGCCGGAGAATTATGGGGTAGGCAAGCGTATCACTCAACTGATCGCCCATGACGACGCCGACTTCGGGGTAAATGCGGAAGTCGGTTACACGTTGACGTACCTGAATAATACCAGCGAACTGTTCTCCATCGAGGAACAAACCGGTTGGGTCTACGTGCGCACGAGCCTCAACGGTGTTCCCATCGGCACGGTGTTCCTGTTGAAGGCACACGCCACCGACAAGGGAATGCCACCGCAGAAGGACGAGGTCGACCTCAAGCTCATCATCACTGGCGAGAACCGACACGCGCCTACCTTCGCCGCCGTCAGTCACCAGGTGAGGGTGCCGGAGAACGAGCCAGTCAACACCATCATCTTGACGGTGAGTGCCGTGGACGGCGACAGCGGGCCCAACGGTATGGTACGCTACAAGATCTCGGCCGGCAATGAGAGAAACGAGTTTTTCGTGCACGCCATCACCGGCGCGGTTACCATACTCGAGCCCCTCGATTACGATTTAGTGCAGGAATATCAGTTGAATATCACCGCCACGGATCTGGGATTCGAGCCGAAGCAGGCGGTGGCCACTTTGACAGTCAATGTTTCTGACATCAACGACAACCCGCCGACTTTCAATCAGAGCGTATACGAGGCGTTTTTACCGGAGAACTCGCCACCCGATAGTTTTGTCTACCAGGTATGTTCAATCCAAGTACTTGAATCTGATATTTTTTCTAGTATTTTTTAGCAATTAAAAAAATATTTACGTGTACTATAATATTCCTCTTTAATTCTATTGAAGATGTAATTTACATATTTTCTATGCACTTGCAGGTAGTCGCTCAGGACATCGACTCTCCCAAGTACGCTGTAGTGCAGTATAAAATTCTCGGCGGCAGCGGGAAGGATCACTTCCGCATTCGCGAAGAAACCGGCGAGATCACATCAGAAATCAGCTTCGATTACGAGGAGGTGAAGGAGTACAGCCTCGACATTGTCGCGGTCAATCCGGACTCGAATCCGCAGATGGTTGGTTTTACAACCGTGATTGTCCACATCACCAGCGTGAACGAGTTTTATCCAAAGTTCATTCAACCAGTATTCCATATGGATGTGTCAGAAAGCGCCGACGTCGGCACTTCGGTAGGTCTGGTCCAGGCGACTGATCAGGACTCGGGCGAGGACGGTCGCGTGTACTATCTCTTCGTGGGCTCGTCTAACGATCGCGGCTTCTCCATCGGCTCGGAAAGCGGGGTGATTCGGGTATCGCGTCGCCTGGATCGCGAGACGCAGAATCGCGTGGTGCTTACGGTAATGGCGAAGAACGGCGGCGGTATACGCGGCAACGACACCGACGAGGCCCAGGTGATCATCTCCATTCAGGACGGCAACGACCCACCCGAGTTTCTTAAGGATTTTTACGATGCGAGCGTGTCGGAGGGCGTCGTCCACGGAACCCGCGTCGTCACCGTTCGCGCGGTCGACAAGGACATTAGACCCCAGAACAATCAGTTCTCGTACTCCATCATCGGCGGCAATCACGGCCAGGCATTCAAGGTCGATCCGCAGACCGGCGACATCGAGACGGCAAAGCAGCTGGATCGCGAGACCGTGCCTGTTTACGACCTGACAATCGGCGCGATCGACACCGGTTCGCCACCTCAAACCGGCACCACAATGGTGCACATCGAGCTGCTGGACGTGAATGATAACGGACCGGTCTTTGACCCGCCAGAGATAATCGGTTACGTCAGCGAGAATGAACCAGCCGGTACCAGTGTGATGACCTTGAGCGCGACTGATCCCGATCTGCCTCCCAACGGCGCGCCCTTCACATACAAACTGATCGGCGGAAGGCAAAGCGACATGGTCATCCTGGACAAGCACTCTGGCGTGCTGAGAACCACCAAGAGTCTCGACAGGGAAACGATGCCGCAACTGGATCTCATGGTCGGTATACTTAAATAGTAATGATACATAATTTTAAATATATTATTGCTTCTCTCTTAAACTGAGTATTTATCTTGTGTGTAGATTGAGGTGGAGGACTCGGGCGTACCGCGAATGAAGAGCGAGCACACTGTCACCGTGATTGTCACCGATCAGAATGATAGCCCGTCCTCCTCGAGATCGGTACACGTGATCGTGCACTCGTTCAACGGTAGGACACCTCTGGGAAAGATCGCTGACGTGCATCCAAATGACCCGGACATCACCGGGACTTACTCTTGTAAGATAGTTCAGGGCTCGAATTCGCGGGTACTCAGCATCCCCACCGCCTGCGATCTGCACACTAACAAGATTACACCAGGTACGTATTTATAAATTCAAAAAGAACTTTCAACATAGCAACAAAATCTATGCTTTCTTATTTTTTAAAAATACTATTAATTTTTTAATAAATATTTTCAGCAAATTTTAATCAATAAATTAACAAGGTTTTAGGTATCTTATCATATTGATTTCTTGAACAGTGAATCTGTATCTTTGAATATCTTTTTACTGATATATTAATTATGTTTGCACAGAAATTGGCTACTCGCTGAGCGTCTCCGGCAACGACGGACGACATCCAGACGTGATCTCCAAGGTCACGATCGAATTTCTGCTCTTTTCAAATGCCACAATCGAGAACAGCGTAATCTTGCACATTTCCAAACTGACTGCAAAAGACTTTCTCAGTCAATATTACCGAGCACTTCTGGGTCTTCTGCAGGAGAAGATCGAAGTCGGTGACACAATCACCATTTTCAGCATCGGTGAGAAAGGACATGATGTGAATGTCCACTTGGCAGTGGAATCTCTTCAAGGTAAGCTACAAATGTTATTTATATATACTTTAATATAATATAAAAAAAAATATAAAAACATCAGTTATATATATTAATCATATAATATAAATAAACATAAAGTTGTGGTATTTACAATTTAAAAATATTTATATATTTCATTATACTTGTATCTTTGGCATTAATCATATTATTAATTTGCACAGATATAAGAAAGTGATAACCTTATTTTGTTCACATTCTTCAGGATACCGTACAAAGTACGAAGTGTCCGATCTGTTGATGCGCATTCGGGATCAAATCCAGACGCTACTCGAAGATAGCACCTTCACCATCAGTTATTCCCCGTGCAAGAACATGCCATGCGAGAACGGTGGCAGCTGCAGCGATCGATTGGCCATATACGACGATGCCAGAATCACCGACAGCCAGGCGCTGATCCTGACATCACCCAGGATGATGCACGAGATGGTCTGCAAGTGTCGGGACGGCTTCACCGGCGACAAATGCGAGAAAAGGCAAGACCCATGTTCGCCGAATCCCTGCTTGCTGGTGAGTACTGATCAAAATTTACCATTTCACCAGAAAATATAGAATAGAATTTAACGTACGTGACAGAATTGAAGATTTTCACATTAATTAATTAAACTTCTTCTTTAGGGAGGACAATGCCGGCGTTTCGGATACGATTTCCAATGTACTTGTCCCATGGATCGCGACGGCAAGCTGTGTGAGCTCGAAAGAGGCGACGCGTGTGCCAGCAGTCCCTGTCGGAACGGCGGATCGTGCAGAAACAGCCCAGACAGCTTCAGCTTTTTCTGTCTCTGCCGAGCGGGCTACAGGGGAAATCATTGTGAGGCAGTCACCGACTCTTGTCGACCGAATCCTTGCTTGTACGGTGGTTTGTGCGTGGGAGAGAAACCTGGGTACGTTGATTCTTCAATTATATAAAATATTTTAGTTACATTAACAAGCACGCACATAAAACTTTATTCTTCAAAGACTAAAGAGAACATTTTATACAAAAAAAAGAAATAATATAATTTTTAGAATATATCGTTTAATTGACTACTTTTTATAATTAAAAAAAAATAATATATAAAATTTTCGCGTGCAGATATCGATGCAGCTGTCCCGAAGGTCGCTATGGTCGACATTGCGAGAGCTCGACCTTCGGCTTCGACGAGCTATCGTACATGATGTTCCCAGCTCTGGACTCCAACACGAACGACATCACCATCATATTCGCCACCACAAAGCCGGACGCTTTATTGCTGTACAATTACGCGCCGCAGACGGGCGGCCGCTCGGACTTTGTTGTGTTGGAGCTGATTGACGGTCGGGTAGTCTTCTCGTACGGCGGTGCCAGAAGCGCAATCACCACTATCACCATTAAGACCGAGAAGCCGGTATCGGACGGCGAGTGGCGCAAAGTCACCGCCACCAGAAACGGCAGGGTCGTCTCGCTCAGCGTGTCTGTTTGTAAGGAACACGGCGATATTTGCGACGATTGTAAACCTGGTGATGGTACCTGTTATGCGGCCGATGTGGGTCTGACCGGGTTAGTATTCTTTGTGATTCTTCACTGATAAAGATTGTAAAACAATTATGAAGTTATACAAATTTGATTATTTAAAATTATTAAGAATATTATATCTCCAATGGCATTTAAAAACATTTTTCTAGATTATATAATATTTAATTGTATTTTACACCAATAGAATTAATTTATTTGTAATCTTGATGATTGGATGTATTTACAGGACTTTGAACTTCAACAACAATCCTCTTTTACTGGGTGGTCTGGAGAACGCCGATCCTGTGCTGGAACGTCCTGGCCAGGTGCATTCTGACGATTTTGTGGGTTGCATTCATTCGGCGGCGATAAACGGAAGGGCTCTGAATCTGACGAATCCGCTCGCGTCTCGCGGCGTGAAGTCCACATGCGCCAGATCGCAGCGAAGTCCTTGTCTAAGGGACGAGAAGGACACCATTTCTGTCTGTGGTGCGGGTGCGCGATGTTACGATAAATGGCACCAAGTGATATGTCAATGCGGATCCCTGACAGCGCCCAACTGTCATAACGCCTTGGAATCCGTCACGTTGAGCGAGGGAGGATTTATTGAGTTTAAGGTACAAATAAGTAGACATTTAAATTATAATTTTTATATATAAATTTAAATAAATTTTATAAAATAATATAAAATAAATATAAATCATATGTAATAATATGCATTATTTAATAATATGACAAATGTGATGACAAACTAAACGTCAAATGTATTGTAACATTATTAATACATTGTAGTAATAACATTATTGTTCACCCACAGATTTCACAGAAACATAAAAGAATGCAATTGTTGGAGTATCTCTATGGTGGCTCGACAATATGGCATACGAATCGCGTTAGACGCGATACCACGAGCTTACCAAACTCTTCTCCATTGAAGACGATCGGTCTGATGTTCAGAACCGTGAAACCTGACGGTATCTTGATATACGTCGCGACTAATAAGCATTTTACATCCGTCGAGGTAAGACATATTAAAACGCATCTTTTAATATTAAAAACATTTGTATTTTAGCAACACTCAATTCTCAAGAAATTTTTATTAACTGTCATTTCTTCTATAATAATTTCTTGATCTATTTCTCTTGATTTTCTCGGAATATAATATAAATTAATAACATGAATAATATTATTAAATGTAAAGAAGTAAATAGATAGAATCCAATTTTATCTTGTCACTCAATTGATTATTTTATTCTTCAGCTTCATAATGGTCAATTGATTTACACTTCTCTGCTCGGCTCGCCGGTCAACATGTCAATCAACATCGAGCGCGGGCTCGCCGATGGACACTGGCATAATCTGACTCTCCACGCTTATACTGGAGGATTAAGATTGTTGGTTGACGGTGTCGTGACAGGTGACGAGTTGGATTCGGCGGGTGTCCACGACTTTCTCGATCCCTACTTGTCTGTCTTGTCAATCGGCGGAGTCAACCGGGATCTCTATTACGCTCATAGCGCTGACGCTAGGGGTTTCGAGGGTTGTCTAGCTAACTTTACTATCAACAACGAGGTGCAGCCTTTCAACGGTTCCGGTTCTATCTTCAAAGATGTACTGTATCACGGCAAAGTGAGCATCGGCTGTAGAGGACCTATCGGCATCAACGCGGCTGCTACCGCGGATCCTCTCAGTATCGGCATCACTTTGGTCATCGTTTTCTTCGTCATTCTGCTGATCGCTATGCTGGTGAGCTTCATAGTATTCCGACTGCGTCGACAGAATAAGGAAAAGTCGGCGCCGTCGGTCGTCAACAAAAACACGAACGCCATCATGACCGGAAATTCGCTGGTCGGAGCCGGAAACGACAATCTCATGTCCCGACACGAGAACACCTACATCTCTGACACGTCGGACTTGCGTGGCGTTGGCCACATGGGGCCCGAGCTAATCTCTAAAAAATACAAGGAGCGCGAGATCAACGCTACAACTGAGCATCGACCGCAACGACCTGACATCATCGAGCGAGAGGTTACCAAGTCACCGCCAATTCGGGACGAACATCCACCGCTGCCACCCCCAACTCAGACCTCCCTGCACTCGCACGAGCATAACCCGGAACCCGACATCCCGGAGCACTACGACTTGGAGAACGCCAGCTCGATCGCGCCCAGCGACATCGACATTGTATATCATTATAAAGGCTATCGCGATGGTATGAGAAAGTACAAAGCCACTCCGCCTCCTCTAGGTAAGAGAAAATCGCGTAATTAGTTTTATTTTTTACAATCACAATAGCGAATAAAATATTTTTTTTCTTAAGATATAAAAAGTGATACAAATCTAACAATAAGCTTTCAATAATTTGTTACACAAAAATGTATGTCAATTTTTTAATAGCTTCAATTTTTATATATTAAGAAATGTGTTATGCAATTAATTTAAATAGCAATTATCCATGCAGGTAATTATAGCAATCATCATAAGCACACGGGGCAGCAACACCGCCATACCGGACCTTTTCCACCGCGAGCTATGCCGCCGCCCAACGTGAATCAACCACCTGGACCGGCGCCGAAACTCCTCCAGAGTACCCCATTGGCGAGATTATCGCCCAGCAGTGAGTTATCCGCACAACAACCGCGGATTCTTACACTTCACGATATCAGCGGAAAGCCGCTGCAAAGCGCGTTGCTGGCCACTACGTCCTCCTCCGGCGGCGTCGGCAAAGACGCGTTGAATTCGAACAGCGAGAGGAGCCTGAACTCGCCCATCATGAGTCAGCTGTCGGGCTCGACCGCCAGCAGGAAGGCTCCACAGTCCAACAATGAGAATTCGGTGAACAACGTGTCATCAGGTCCGATGGGTCTTACCGCGGAGGAGATTGAACGACTGAATTCTCGTCCAAGAACATCCAGTCTGGTCTCCACCCTGGACGCCGTGAGCTCGTCCAGCGAGGCGAGGGGTCCACCCGCTCACGGACCCTTGCACCATCATCGACGTCATACGCCACCCGCGGAGAGACTCGAGCGACGAAACTCTTCGACCACCGACGAGAGCGGCAACGATAGCTTCACGTGCTCCGAGATCGAATACGATAACGGCTCGCTGGTAGGTGACAAGCGATCCGACAACCTGTTCGCCAAGCAGGACGACGAGGGTAGTGGACCCCAGGGCAGCAGGAGCAATGTCGAATCGTCCCAGTCGAAGCCGCCGTTGCCACCAAATGTTGTGGGCAACTATGACGGTTTCGACAGCTCGTTTCGCGGCTCCCTCAGCACTCTGGTCGCCTCGGACGACGATCTGTCGACCCACATGGGTGGTCTCCTCTACGGCAACCATGCCAGCAATGGTTCGCCTACTACCACGAACACAACCACCACTACTATCACCACCGCTGCCGAGGACGCCCTTAGCTGGGACTACCTGCTCAACTGGAGACCCAACTTCGAGAGCCTCGTCGGCGTCTTCATCGACATCGCCGAATTGCCGGACAGCACCAGCCGAGTACCTAGATTACCGGCGAATATCCCCAAACCGTCCGAGGAATACGTTTGAAATAATCCTATGGGATGGTGCCAAGACAATTTATTATTAGTGAACTGATTGATAGTTTAATGATATTAAAAATTGTTTCGGAGAAGGGAGAAGTTGTAAAGATTCTCCTTTCCTGAAAAACATGCGAAATCTACGATGTAGAAATGTTGTCGAATTGTTGACTAGTTGAACATTTGTATAACAATATAGTATATATGAATCGCGATGTCCACAGCATCGAAGCTTTGGATGATCGTGATCTCGAGTCATTGCGAGAACGCGTTTAAGAACAAAGTGTCGATTTTTAAAACGTGTAGGTTCTAAGTGTTGTTGGTGAACAAAATCGTTGCAACATTTATAATCGTTGCAGCGAGGTGCCGCGTCAATAAATATTCGCGCGATCATCTTGCCATAAAGTGTACTTTTTCTCGAAGAAAGAGAGAGAAAAAGACTCGTTATTTTTGATCGTACTCTTTATTTTGAATTGTTGTAAATATTGAATGACACACGTTTTTAATCAAAAAATGACTCGCTGGCGAAATTCCTATCCCTCGATTACACAATCGGTCGAACTGCACAAAACTTCTCTTGCGATAGTAATTAATATTGATTGCAATTAAGATTAAAATTAATATTATTTAATATTGATAATAATATTAATTTTGATTAAATTATTAATTAATTAATTATTAATTAATATTGATGCTCAATTCGCACGGAAACATTAATATTTTATGCATTTCGAACGATGCATTTCGTACGCAATATTAAATATGAAACACGAATTTACGTTGAATGTTAATGTTTTAATTATGAGGTGGAAAATGTGCGATTAAGTATCGAGGTAATCTAATTAACTAGCGACTTCTGTACACATAAATCCTAAACAGCCGTGCCAGATATATACACTCGATACAATTGCACACGTCGTAATTATTGGTTGAATGGCTAAATGTATGCATGTGTATGTGTATATAAGCGCTCTTACCTCACAATAATATTTAAATCAGATATTAAAACTATTACGTTCCCCTATTTATTGAGATTGTAACACGAGAAAATACTTGAGACTTTTGCAGTAAATATATATACTTTATATATATTATTCTTAATTATATTTTTATTACATATAATTAAATATGAGCCATATTTTATAATTATATTTAAAAAATTTACTTAATATAATATAATAATAAAATAAAAAGATAAATAAAAGATAAAAATATAATAAAAAATTAGTGATTAGTGATAATTATGAATTTCTTGTGTATTGCATTTTTATAAATAGGAATGCTAATTCGATGAGTTTCAATTTCGATAAATTAACACCATTATAATGTAAAATTTTTTTATAAATCGAAATTAAATTCATCGAAGTTGTAATAATTTTAATATCTGATTCCGGGACTTGTAAAATTTATAATTTTTTTAAGTATAGCCACTTTTAGCCATTCGCTGCCGAAGAGGAAGAGAGAGAGAGTTTGTCTTCCCTCGTTATAAGGAATAATCACTTCGCTATTACCGATACTACTCGAATCGTAAAGATAACGGAACTTATCGTTGACGGGATTACATTGGATAATGTAATGTCGTCATGTCCGATTCGTGCTCAATAATTCGTATTCGTTAGAGAAACAATAACGCGGCGCCGTCGAAGCGTTCCTGAGAGTACCTGCTTATTATCGCAGACTCTACCAGACTGATATTTTTTCCTCTTTCGCTAATTTTTGCAATTTTGCAAAAGTAAGCGACTCGCTTGGTACGTTTACGTTGTAAATTATGACACAGGTCTGTCCGCGATCTGTCTCACCCTGTAAATAAAATTGTCGCGTGTGAGTTATTTGTACAAAAAGGTGCGAATGCGTGCTACTTTATCATCACCGACCATAATTCGTAATAGACGACAAATTTGTAAAACCTGCCGTGTATATCTTCATTTATCCTCTCTCTTCAGTCCTCTTTCTGATATCATCAAGTTGCTTCGAAAGTTCGTTTTCGTAGCCTAAATAATTATTTTCCATTTTTCAATATATCATATATAATTTCGAAAAAAATACTTTTTTTAATTGGAATTTTTTTATTTCAAGATTTTTATTGCAAATTATGTCTGATACATTCAGGCGCAATTGGCAATAAAAATCTCGAAATCGAAAAATTGCATAACTGCGTCCAATTACAAATTATCAAATTTAAATATAATTAAAGTTGTTGGTTTTAAAGGCGCCTGAAGAAAGTTCACTATCTAATACTACGTCGATAAATCGTGAACAAGCTATATCTTCGATCTTCATCTCTTACTCCAATACTGTTGTCAAACCCGATTTCACTGCGTATATTAATATTAATCGCTAATTATTATTTATTCCTATTATTTATTGCATTTATTAATTTGAAACTGAAATATTCTCGATCGATTTGTGAGCGGAACACACGAGACTTGTAACGCAAAAGTTTATTGGCCTCTCGTGTCGGACTATCGGATTACCTGATCGATCGGTTAATAATGTACAGATAATGATATCTCCATTTTCGTCATACGACGACGAGCTCCTGAATAGCGCCTACGCAAATATCTCTCTGATCGCCGACAAGGTCTGGACTTACGATCCCGAGGATCCCTTCCGAAAGTTAAATCATTCCCTCTGGATTCAAGTGAGACGCGCAACACAGATACGCTCTTTCGAGTATCGCATAAATATCGAAAGTACCCATATTTTTTTACCAACATTGACCCCTATTATTTCATCATTTGATGACATTTTGTGTATTAAAAAATTAGTCTCAGTAAATTTTCTACACAGCTTAATTATATATATCAAAAAGAAGAACAATATAAGTATATCTTCTAAATTGACAAATATTTCAAATATATTTTGTATATTAAAAAAGAAATTGTCTGAGTAAATTTTTTACATGCTGTTTATATATATATATATCGAAGATGAGAAAAATATCGGTATATCTTCTTCATTTAATAAAATTGAGAAATTATTCGACAATTATCTTCATTAATGAAGTTGACAAATACTTCAAACACATATCGTATAAAATAATAAAAAATACCGTCGAATGATTGAAGGTGAAAAAACTACCATAATACTTGAGACCTTCGGGATAAAGGGAGGAGAAATCTATTCTGGCATAATGATAACTTATCGTTAATGTCAGAGTTGCGAGGTAATCGCGAAGTACCAAGAAAATAGTGATTATCATCGTCCGAGACTCGTCCGAGACGTCATCTCTGAATCGCGCTTGGCGAAATACGGTAATTATGAATACGACGAGCGGCACGAGGGAATGTACAGGCCGGACGACGGTAAATCGTCGGGTAGCGGGCCTCGTCACTTCCGTTCATCAACTACCATGGAGCCTGTGGAACCGTGGATGCTTCCTGAAGTTCAAGAACACTTCGCCCGGTTAATCTCACCGAACTGCACGCGATCGCATCGGGAACCGTTAGTTCGCCTCGGCATTTCCGTATTATCCTTATGCATCTCGCAAAACCTTTTTTTCTTCTCCCTCCGTCCTCCTTTTCCGCCCGCGAGAAATTCTCAGAGATAAAAATATTGAAATTAATTATTATTTGATGATAGTATTATCTACGGTAATAATTAATAAGGGGATAATCAAAATAAGAATAATAAATAAATAATGAATTTATAATTGAGATAAACTCTTCCTTCTTCTCTTCTTCTTCCTTTCCCTCTTTCCACGAACGAGAAATTCTCAGAGATAAAAATATCGAAATTAATTATCATTTCTAATATTATCTATACGATATAATAATTTACAAGTGGATAATAAAAAATAAGAATAATATATATAATAATGAATTTAAGAAATTAATTGGAGAGAGAAGTATATATAAATTATAATTAATATAATATTTCTCAACGCGAAATTCGAGTTTTATATCACAAGATGAAAATTGTATATGTATATAAATGTACGAAATATTGATTAATTGCGACTAGATTTTTTATATCTCACATTAATAGTATGTTCAATATGCAAAGCTCAGCAATACCGAAGTGTAACGTCGTGAAAAAGGAAAATGAAGCTGTTTGCTCGAGTCTCCAATCAAATTGGAACGAAGGCTCGAAAAAGCGACGTCAAAAAATTAGTCCGAAGAAGAACAAAAAAGTTGGATTACATGATGAATTACTTTCAATTCATAAATCGAAAACCCATAATGGTAAGCAATATTTTTAAAATTCACAACCATATAAATCATCCTTAAGTAGAAGAAGAAGCAGTAGAAATTATATAATTTCACTCCTAGTTATCTCCTAGTTATCATATTTTAAATTATATAATAAAAATATTTAAATAAAAATTTATAATATATATATATATATATATAATTATATCCAGTTAAATTACCTTTATTACATATATAAAATAAAATAAGTAATCAATAAAAACTTATATATAATTATACATAATTAAACTGCAATGTCAGGACCACCTGAGAAGTCGATCGAAATGTTCGCCCGTCATCGTCGATACATCATCGAAACCGCCGCAGAGATGCAACTGGAGTCTCGAATCGGGAGCGATGCTGTGCGCAATATATGGAACTCTGAAAAGCTCCATCAACCGCAACAGCAACACCAGCAAAATCATCAGCGAATCGCGCGACAAACGCAGCCAACCGTCCAGAATCATCAACAACAATTTTACTGCACCTTGCAGTATCAACCTCTGCTTCTGAGATCAGAGTATCAGAGAAGGATGTTGCAATCATCAGCTCAACCACCACCGCCACCTCCATCACTTCCGATTTTAAGCGCCGAGGTGCCAGAATTCTTCCCAAAATCGAATTTACCTTCGATAACAGCCTACAGCATGAATAATAGCGATAAGAATCGCAGGGCTTGTCAGATTCGTTACTTTCCGTCCTTGAATGACAGAAATTATCAGACCGATCTATTTCCTTACAATAGACCGCAACACGAGATCGCGACGAGCGTTTTTCCGGTAAACGAAGGGTCTACAAGGATATAAAATCTCGTATCAGATTAATTTAATTTTTTGCGATTTCTCTATATCTAGAACACCAGAATGTCTATCCTACCAGCGACCGAAAGCAACACGTTCCGTTCACCCCAGGAATGGATCCAAAGGATCGCACCACCGGTGCAGTTACAATTAACAGCGTCTTCTTCGTCACCTCTGCCGATCTGCACGTCCTTGCGATCGATTCACGACGCTGCGATCGTTCACCGTCCTTTGCAGGTATTTTTTCAATCAAAATAATTCATTATTGTATCAAAAAATTATTAATTATCACAATAATTATTAGTTATATCTTAAATTCCCTAACAACCCCTAACATCTTCTGGATATCCTCTGAATGTCTTTTGAATATGTGCGCTGTTAGAATTAATCAACTCGTGATATTAAATTTACGCCGACTAGAAAATTTCTTATACACTTTTATAAATATATAAAAATAAAAATATAAAAAATAATTATAAGTAATGCAAAAATGAGTATAAAAAATATTTTAAAAATTATATAGATAATATATATAATAAATATAAAGAAAAAGAAGTATAAAAAGATCCTGACGAAGTCGCGTATTAATTGTACAATTTCCAGATATACGAGAAATTTTTGCCCTACACCCAACCGAATCCGACGACATCCATACCCGTGTATCAACGACCAATGGAGTTGTACCAGGAACCGACGTCAAAGCGAAAAAGTCAGGGGGTCGACTTCAACAACCTCATACTGTTGACGAAAAATAACATCAAGACGCGACGTTCGAAGAACACAGCTCAACAACCCTTCCTCCTGGAGTCCTCCAAGCAGAATCTGAGAACTTCTCACAATCAGTCTTCCAGTCGCAACATGCAAGTGCAGTGGTTCGACAAGGATCGTGGCACGAAGGGGTCAAAGGAGGTCGTGACCGTGAACGCATTGGTATCCGAATTGCGCAGCTTCGAGGAGAAGTACGAATGTTGCAGAGGAGCCGGCACCAGCTGGAGAACCGCCGTTGAGAATCAACAAAGACCGTCCGAGAGTTCGAGATCAAGAAATAAAATTTTCGGCGGCGACAGCTCGAGATGTAGAACCTCGGATGCCGAAGAGAGGAACAGGAGGACTAAACGGCCGCTTTACAGAGACGTCCTGGCGAACGCCTCGAGCGGAGGAATCCTGGAGAACGTCTTCGAGAAAAGGTGTAATAAAGCTTTGTCGACTTAGCTTGAAAATTTAAATTGATCATCGGTAATTATATTTTTTTCCAATTACTTTAGATACGACGAACTCGAGCAACAAGCGATGGAACAGTACAGAAACTCGGAAGAGTCGCTGGCCCTCAAATACCAGGTAACTTGCTTGAATATTTACCTCGTGGTAATTAAATAGTCTGCGAAAAAAATAGATGACTCACAACTGACTTGTCAGAAAGAATTGATAGAAATTTAAGAATTGTGTAAAATTATGGATTCTCTATAGAGAGTATTTTAAAATAAAAAAGGATCCAATCTCTTTCTCAATTTTGATGAAGATATTTAATTTCGTGCAGAAACACTTTTTTTGCATTTATTTTCATTTAACTTTCATTTATTTTTCCTACAAAATGGAGTATCTCACATTAATAGATATATTATTATATTACAGGAATTGGAACGTCAAGCGATGGAGCAATATAGAAATAGTACAGCAGGTGAGAGGCGTTTGGTATCTTCCGAGGACCAAGATTGCCTCGATGGACAGAGATGTTCGGGACATGGACAATGCAGTCCTTCCAGAGAACGTCCAGAAAAAAAGAGTAAATTCGACATGAAATGTATGTTGGAGATGTGTATGGAAAAGGAGCGCTTTGTTTAATATTTCTCCGATAAAAATAACATTTTAAAATATAATAATTCACTGTCAGGTTCTTGCTTTCCGCAAATCACCCTGTTGAAACCGAAAGGTAAATCTCTGCCGAACGTCTTTCGCGGATCATCGTGTAATGATAATCAACAACCAGCCATAGCTTCGAGAAGCTTATCTGCCTTGACTGACAGACCACCGAAGGAATCGAAAAACATATGTAAGGGTGCATCAGGAGATAAAATCGATACAAATGGTGAATAGATAAAATAGGAATATAATATTATATAATGCAAATAAGACATAGCATATAAAAAAGCTTTAAGTAAAGCTCTTTTCGATTCGTGAATCATATACGTAATGTAAATTCTAGATATACGCATTTACTAATGTAGAATAATAATAACATAATTGATTTTTTTTCAAGTCTCAGTTCGGACATCATCGAAGCGGCATCTGATACTGATGTCACCCTTCGAGCGCAAATCAGAGGCCAGACGAATAATGAAGACGGATTTACGAGAGATTTGTTCACTTTCCGAAGCGAGAAGAAACGTGCTTGGATATTATCGGACCTCCGAAATCGCTCGGGATGGCAGCGGGGAAAACATAACGATCATACAGTCACCCAGCACAGAAGGTATCAATGACACAAATCTAAAATCTTTCATATACTTATCGTCACAAATTTAAGTTAAATATTTGTTCGCTTTCTTACGTTTTTATATTAAGAAACAAAAAAAAAGAATTTTTTAAATTAATCTGATAATTCCAGTTTGGTTGTCTGGATTCTGGACTACCTGAAGAGAAAAGTCAATTAAATGAGTCTTCTTGAAAATGATTGAAAGTTTGAAACTATTTGATGACGACGTTGATTAGTTACTTCTGAGAAATTTTTGAGAATCAAGAAAAGCAAATATGTGATATAATTGACATAAATATATATTATGCAAATATAATAATATATGAAAGAAAAGTTATCGCGCATAATCATGCGATATGCATTATATATACTGATATATTATACAATCGACGATTTACATAAATTTGTTTAAGCTAAATTGTTGCTTGTAAATAGTGATCACTTGAAGTATATATTAAGCATATTTATTTGTTCGTAAGTATATATGAAATATTAATAGTATAAAATACAATATCATGAAAAAGGTAGCAAATTTAAATTGATTACATTGTTCGATATCTATTCCTAACGATATATATAGTTACGTCTATCAAAATCTCGGTGGGCTTAGAAATATATTTTTATGAAAGATTATATATAACATATAATCTTCTGAAAATTTTTCTTTTCAGTCTTTGAAGATTATTAACTTTTCATGTCATCTGTTGCATAAATAGTATCTGGTATAATATATAGTCTAAATAAAATAAAGTTATAAAATATAAGCATATAAAAAAAATCTTGTTAAAAAGTCTCGCTCACTGTAAAAAATATTCTATCTTCTCCTACATAAATATACTCTGACTTTTACACATACATTTATATAAATGTTTTTATACGACACACAGCAATGAAAATAATCAAATCACATACATTGCTTAAATATTTGTATATATATACAAATATTTGAGCAATGTATGTGATTTGATTATTTTCATTATATATATATATTTAGTACATATTCCTAGAATATTATGGAAATATCTTGTATGTAATAAAAGCGCATGCAGAGGAAATTGAGTTACTCTTTAAATGGAATAAATTTACCAATTATCAAGAAACTCAAATCCAGTCTTTGGTATACTTCTCTCTTCCTCATCTTGATTTAATTGCGATGACTGAAAACTGCTGTAGGAACTAGGTGTCTCTAATAGAGCTGTTGACTCGTTTATATCGCTTGACTTTGTTAGCGATATCACTACAGTGTTCGATTGACTTTTATCTGTATCAGAATCTCTCTCTCTTACCAAACTCTCCATATCATCTTCGACATTGCTTTGTAATTTCAACAAAGAAGTCTTATTGATCAATTTAGCGAATAAACTATCTGAATGTTCGCTATCAATTCTGTTTGTCAATAAGTCGCTACATTGATCATTTTCGAATAAGCTGCTGGTAAAGCAATCTGACTGATAACAGCTGATTTGATGTGCAGAGTTGTAACTGTCGTTCAATGAACAAGGATTGCCCCTTTGTGTCTTGACAGGACTGGAAAAATGTGGTGATTCTCCAAACTGGGTTCTCATTGATTTATTTATCACATCTTCATTAGAATCTATAATACTAAGATTCATCTGTGATTGAGTCATAAATGAAAATGGCGCAGAGTGCTCATCTCTCCATCGTAATGTCTGTAATGTAATGAGAAATAAATAATATCAATTTGTTCTTCATTTTCATAAGCATTAACAATATTGTTACTCACAGAACCAGTTTCATCTATAACATATTTCATTCCAGTCTGTATGCGCAGTTTTGGATACCACTCTGGTAATTCTTTGGTCAACTCAACTTTCTTCAAGGTATACTTTAAAGCTACCTCAGGCTGAATTATAGTTTCATTGATAGCCTGATTGCGGTCTGCTGTGCTTAAAGTATTCCATAATCCCTCGTAAGCTTCCTTTGTCGCAATTATATCTTCGCCAATCCTCTGAGCTATAGGATTAATACTGTAAAAGTATTGCTCTGCTCTTGCAGTAATAGCACTGGAACTCATTTTGCTAAAATATAAAAATTTGACGCTATTAAATATTAACGTTAATCGTAAATATATTCATACACATGTGAAACGTAAAGAAATGTGTGTACATTAAAATAACTTTTTAACATACCTATGTCAGATGTAACGACACATAAACAAAAGGAACAAAGTTATATTGACATAATACTCGTTGTTGTCACACAGAATAATCAGACTGACATGTAACAAACATATCTCGAGCGTATAAGTAAATTGTCATCGTTTAAAGATCACATTCAAGAAGATACCGATTATTTAAAATAGTCAATGGAAGATAATTAGAGAGAGAGAGAGAGAGAGAGAGAGAGAGAGACTTCTATTTTTGTCCAATTCATATCATTTATGTATTATTAACTCATAAACACTGGCGAGAACTGTCAAAGATGCGACCAGTCTTGAATGCTTTCGGAAATCCTACTAAGATAAAATAGTCAACGAGTTCTTTGTCCTGATTGGTCACTTCAATGCTTATCTATCCTATACGAGTAGGATTTTCGAACACACCTTATGTGGGAGCTGCCATAACAATTTCTTCTTGATTGATTGATCAATCATGTCAATCAAGCGCACTAAAATTTTCATGATGTTATCAAACGCATTCCGAAGACATTTCTTGCGTTTAACAAGAATATGATTGACATCATGTAGATTAAAAATCTAGCAATTTAATGATATATTTATGAAATAATAAATTAAATTTTGCTAAGAATTTTTTTATATAATAATTTTATATTTTTTTTACATACAGATATATCCTCTGTTTTTATATCGCATTATTTAATAATTCTTTAATTAAAATAAAATTAATTTAGAACCGATTTTTTAAAACAAAAATTGTAACATTAATTTTAGTTATCAGCAATGAAAAAAAAACCTATTTTTGGAGTTCAAAGAAAAACACATTTTTCTTAAACATATGATATTAGAAATTGAAAAATTACAATAAATAATTATCTTCCTTAGTATTTTCGCTAAAAGAAAATGATTACAAGAATAAAAAAATATTATAATACTATAATATACAATACTAACGATGTTGAAATTTGACGTTACATGATCAAGACAGGTAGGAAAATAGTAATAATAGTCTCATAAGAAAAATTATTTAGTATATATAACAATTAATTGGAATGATAACAAATAAAAATTGCACGTGACTTTTCTTGTGCTTATAAATTATATTTGATAAATGTTTAAGTATTATTTATATACTATTCTTAATAAAGTAACATACTTATTTTTCTTTTAAATGCAGATATTTTTCGAAAAACTAAATTAAATTATTCTTTACATGAATTGTATAAAATAAGAGATCTTGAAATCCACAAGACTCGCTTTGTTCGATTAAAAGGAATTTAAACAGATGAACAATATAATGCCCAACTATTATATATTACTTATACATTTGAATTTGTGACAGAATGTTTATATTATATTCCTTTTATTATATGATACAAATATATACAATATTTTTAATATCATATTATCAATCGTTTGTTATCAATTTATAATAAAGCGTTCTTCTATAAATTTGATAGACAAATGGCGACTTATTCAAAATATATAATACATAATGTATATAATACATACATACAAGTATATAAAAATTATATATATTTACAAATATATATACATATTTTATATACGTGCATGTATATGCATATACAATATATGTGTATTGTAAAGAAATTATTTACAATATAACAATAATTAATAGGAATGATAATAAATAAAGATTGCATATTTTTTTTTTGTGCTTATGAATTATATTTGAAGTATTATTTATATATTCTTAATAAAGACATTTTTTTCAAATATAAACAAATTTAACTCTTTTGCTTCTTTTACTTTTCACAAAATATATGTACAACTTAATAAGTTGCGTTTTAATATTTTATTAAATAGAAACTAAGAGACTTTATTCTTTTTTTAACAAAACAGTGTAGAATATTTTTCTTATGGTCCTATTAAAGTGTAAATGCTGCCCATTTTAAGAATTGTAATCTTTCGCACTTTTTGAGACGGAGTCTGTAAGTATTTACATATATATATATATATATATATATATTTATATATATATATGTATGCATATGCATATAACAACATTAGGTATTACATATATAACTGTATCAATATAATCTTTTCAAGTATTGTTTGCTATCTGGCAGAATAATTCTGCTTCATTAGGTACATTAGCATTTTTAATCGCATACATAGTACAAGTATATGTAAACAATTTTTTTATATGTATGAACAAAACTCTTGCTTTTAAATTAAATTGTTTTTTTAAATATTGATTGAAAAAATAAGATTTTCATATAAAATGAATCAAAACGCTACTTTTTATATATAAAATAATACATACATTATTTTACATTTAATAGCATTAATTTCTTATGATACGATTTTCGTTTATCAGATTAAAGTAACAATATTGCAAAAAGATTTAATTATTCAATTTGTTAAATGGATATGAAATATGTAAATTTAGCATAGAAAATTTAATACAGCTTTATTAAAAATAAAAAAAAAATAAAAAAAATAAAAAAAATATACACAATATAATTCATTACTTAAGATTTCATTTGTAATAATTACGATATATACTTCTATTTGAATTTTTTAAATTAAAATCTTTAAAGGATCTTTATCTTAGTTTATCAAAATATATGATATAATTAATGAGAAATTCAATGAAAAAATACTGTATTGCTCTAAAGCTATAATAAATTAACAAATTTTATGTTAAGTCAGTCATCAACCAATTTCATTTTGCAACAAGATAAAAAAAGTTTTATTTTAAATAAATTCTCTCTATATACTTCTTATATAAAGAATATAAAAGAAACTATACTTGTATATTTGCGCACAATGAGCTATTTTACAAGTATACTTAGACACAAGCATATTTTCGTATATTCTTTATATAAAAGATATCGCGCGTTTATATAATAATTTTACTTAAACTCTATATCACGTTCGTTCTCCTTCCATAATTAAGACAATGTGTCATGGTCAGTGGCAATACAGTAATTGATTTGAACATGAGATATAATAAAAAAAGAAGCGTGATTGCACACGTGAAATAGGCCGAATGCGTCCACAGTTACCTGTTTGATAAATGTTTAAGAGGACCGAGACTTAATATCGAGGTAGCACCAAGCGCACCTAGATTGCAGGTACTCGAGTTTCTTGCACCGTCTATCGTGATGATCGGCAGACCGAAATAACCACCAGTTTGAGCACTCAGTTGCGACAATGGTATGTAGCTCTGAATGCCCAAATTTGATAAGCGGTTTAGAACATGCGGAGACTTCAGATCCACAACCGGTAGGGCCAATTCCGCGCCTCCATTTTGTGCTACGGTGTCGACTTCCTTATGATAAGTTTGTTTATGCGTTGTCAACGCTTGAACTGTGGGATATTGAGCAGGACAAAGATTGCACCTTAAAAAAATAAAAGAAAAAGAAAAAAAATATTGTATATATCAATCAGTTCTGGTCAATCAGTTCTTTAATATCGCTATTCAAAATAGAGGAAAGCACAGAAAAAATAATTTAACTCACTTGTGAATGAGTTTGCTAGTCGTCCGATGAGTCGCCATGTGTTGTGTCAACATATCTTGATTTTGAAAGTTCTTATCACATACCTGACACGTTAATAACGCTCTGGAAAACGCGAATATAATATAATGAGTTGTATGTACATGAATTCAAATTTTGTTTGTAATTAGATAATAATAAATTAGAAAAACAATGAGCATCTCTTACCTGGGTGGACGACCACGTCTAACGACTGGCATCTGTGGTGGAGTATCCTGTGTAAGATCCACAGTTGGTGGTCTAGGTGGTCGTTCAACTTGTTCATTGATCGGTGATTTGTTTTGCTTATTTTGCGGAATAGCAAACTGCCCTTGCTCCTGCTGCTTTCTTTGTGAACTAGTTGGTATGATAGAAATAGCAGAATTCAGATTGAGTGCTGTAACATTTAAAGGTGGCTGTGAAGGTGGTGGCCGCTGCTGCTGGGAAGATACCTGCTGTTTGCTTTGTTCACTTGTCTTATTTTTATTTGCAGCTGGAGTAACTGTTATACCTCGAGCCGCGAGGACATTCGCCACCGCCTTGGCGTCGGATTTCTTCCCACTCGGATTTAACGTGCTCTGGATTTGAGCTGGGGTAGAACCTTTGGATTAGTAAAATATGGCATTCTTTATTTTGTTATAACGTACCTCTTCTGTGAATGTAGTGATTATCGTCAAAAATCTATATTTATTTATAAAAAATAAAACATATATATATATATATATATATATATATATATATATATATACGTAGTAAAAAATTAAGTTAATAGAAAATAACCAAAAAATTTAACAAAGCAACCATTAAAAAATTATAAAATTGCAAATGCAATACAAACTTAAATTTTACACAAATGCATAACTCAAAATATTGTTGGATAACAAAATCATAGAAGAGGTACTTTATATAAGCGGGGATAAAAAAAAAACAAACAACAGGTTTAAAAGAAAACGACTAATTATAGTCGTAGAGAAAATGATTGACGACTTAAATTCAATAAAAGAATGATAAATTTAAACCTACCAGGTTGTCGAACACTCAGTGTGATTGAATCCGTGAGATGTATCGTGGAATCATTTCTACTGGTTTGTTGGGTGGTAGCGCCCTGAACATTTTGTATAACGGGTAATCCGTCATTTCTTTTCTGTTGCGCTATGACGTGACAATCCGCGTCTTCGTTTCTATCAGGTAACAAAACATCCATACGTCTTTGCTTTACAACGTTATTTTGCGGTTGAGCTTGCATAGATGGCTGTATGGGCCTCTTCATGCGTTGACGTGGAACCGAAGCAGTCTGTGGTAACCGTGGTGCTCTAAAAGGTAAAAGGTAATGTAATGAACAATTCGCATACATGTGTAATGTACAAGTATCTGTATATTTACCTGCTGTTTTGTACGATGGTTGTCGATGGTGGATATCGTCCACGTGGAATTTGTTGGGGCAACTGTGGATGCATCTGCGGAGGAGGCGCGGCTATCGGAGGATACGGACCCGGTCCGTATTGATACAAGTGCGTCATGTGCGGAGGATAATGTATACTCTGCGGACCAGGTACTCTATACAAGGGTGGTCGACCCGGTGGCTGTACAAAATAATTTGGCCCATGTATCATTGTATTTGCGCCTGGAGGAAGACTAGGAGGCATCTGCGACTGTGGAAGAGGCATACGCTGCACTTGTTGAGCCAGTTGTTGCACGGGTGGTGGTAGTTGCTCGAAGTTTATCGGCGGTATTTGCATCTGTTGACCCGAAGAAGCACCAGCGGTCGTCATCGGTCCTGCATTGTAGCTCGGCGAATTAGTTTGATGCGGCGACGTTAACGGCGAGTTTCTAAGCTGTTGCTGTTGCGAACTGTTGGTCGATGATGCATCCATAGGCACGGCATGAGGCGAATGCGACGCCTGACTCAAATGCGGCGAATTCTGATTCATGTGTGGTGAGTTCGCGTTTGACAATTGATTATGAGGAGATAGTTGGTTTACGCTCGGCGAAAGCGGAGTGCCATGTGTCTGCGCCCGATGCAGCGATACCTCCATCGCCGAATGAAAGAGGAGATTAGAGCATTCTGGGATATTGCACTGATAATGACCGGCTTTACTACGATGTTCGTCTAGATGTGCGATATCTTTAAACTTCTCGTTGCAGACGCGACACGTGTTGACGGTCTCTGCTAGTTTCTCAAGGGGCACGTATTCCGACGTCTCGTTGGACAAATTGCTTGATAAAGAGATCTCGTTTGGATTACGTCTCTGATGCTCCAAGAGAAAATTTTGCAAGAGCGACCCGGTGTTCTCCATGTGATCGCCACCAGTATCAGCTTCTTGCTCGCCGTTCTCTTTATTGAGATCCTCATTGCTTTTACTAGATAAGTCGGTTGATAGTTGATTCCAATTAAAACTTTGTGATTGCGGCTCAGTCGAGTCTCTGCTTTTATTTTCACTATCGCATACCGAAGCGCGTTCCGTCGAATGATTGGAAAATGTGGAAGACTTTGGAATAATGCTGATAGAAGAATTCTGTCCCAGAGTATGTATCATGTCGGAATCATGATTTCTATCGTCTTCTTCCTCAGTAGACGAGTTGTCGATCAATTGATTCGTTGATCTAGAACTGAAAAAATTGTGAAATAATTAATAATCAAACGTTAAATAAAGTATAAGGTAATAAAATATAATGTTCATAAATCATTTGAATCATCAAATATAAATTGTAGAATTTGTAATATATATAAATTAAAAATTTATCAAAATATAATCACAAATTTTCCTTTAATCTTATATTAACATTATCATCTTAAATGTTTATCATTTGCATTATCCAATGTCATAATTTATCGCCTTACTTGGACTGCTCTCCGAGTTTTTTCAAATTTTCAATAGTTTCTCTACAAGTTGCCTCTAAAGCATCCGATTCTTCGTGATCCTCAGGTTCTGATAGCCTTTTCTCAGAATTATCATAGTTATCGCTATTTTGTATATCATCAACATTTTGATCTTCTTTTTCAGATGGATTTGCCATATCACTCCCTACACCAGAATCACCCTCATTAACATCTATGGATGGTCTCTCATTCTCTTCTAAAGGATTATGATCTTCTTCATCAAATTTAATATTGTCATAATCACCCTGCAAACAAAATTGCTATAGAAAACAAAAAACTATCAACTTCAGCACTTGACAAAGCAACAACTCACTTGTTGGTCTACCATCACGTTTTCAAAAGGTTCATTAACTGAACCTTTTGCAGCCTTGTTATCTCTATGATCATTCTCTTTAGCACCTGCCACGTCTTCTCGCTGATGATTCTTGACACCTGGATTAAATTTACTATTCACTACAGTAAAAGCTTCCGACTTTGAGGATGTCTTCTTCAATGTAAGCTTTAGAGACTCGACTGTGTTCTGTTTTTTCAGCGTAAGTTTCAGCAGACCCTTCTTCTCAGGATCCAACCAATATGTGTCTTCGCTCTGCTTTCTCAGCTTCACCACTTTCGGACTGGGAACTCTTCTGAGGACAATCCGGGGTTTCCTCAAATGAGTATGAATGTGGACACGCAATTGTTTCTTGGAAGCAAATTGCTGACCACAGATGCCACAATCTAGCAACAGTTGCTGCTCACTCAAAGTGTCGAGTTGCTCCGGCGAGCTGGGAGTGCCCGCGCGCTCGTCTAAAACAGAATGCATCATTCACACTTCTCCCGCCAAGAAGATTACACATTAAATCCGAAAATGCCGTGTCGCGCACATGTATTACACACGCGCGCGACGTTACGTACTGTCCCTATAAAGTTTGTTTTTGGTGCGCAGAAGTTACATCGTTATATCGAGAAGCCAGGAGAAGGGAGAGAGAAAGAGTGAGAGAGAAAATACGTAGAGAAAGAGACGCGCCACAAGCGGAGAAAGAAAGAGAGAGAGAGAAAGAGAGAAGGAGAAAGTAAGCAAACAAACTCGCAAACAAAACGTACCAAGATCAAACACCGATGAGGGATCATTGTTCGCCGAACGTGACAGTGGTGTGACAGTCCAGCGGTGAAACGTCACTTGTGATTTTTTTTCCCCCACGTTTTCTCTCACCTCTGTCCCAAAACTTGTTCCGACAGCGCGATGTTACTCGCTCGGCCCGCGGACCGATCGTCAGCCGTACAATGCGCGCGCGCGCACGTCGCAGTGACCAGTGACGTCACGCGCGGTAGAAGGAGAAGCAAGGTGCACGTTACATCGGCGGCGGCGGCGTACGTACGTGCGTGTATATACATTTACATACCGTATGTAAACAAAGCCATGCGCGCGCGATTTTCTTCCTCGCTTATGACGCGATCACGCAAAATCCTGAGACGCCTTTTTTTTTGCCAGAAAAATAATTGCCTCTCGCCCTGATAATTGAAAACGCGACTCGCCAATCGATACCTGACCAAAGCGCGCGTCACATTATTGGTCACTTTTCGTATCGCGCCCGGTTTCCCGCCACCGATTGGTGGCCTTCTTGCCCGGCGAAAGTGTAAAAAAAAAAAAGCGTTTTAATCGAAAAAATCTTCATTGTTTTAGATCTCTGATTGTCCTTTTTAAATAATATACTCTGAAGGAAAAACCGAGAAGAGAATATAGTGAACTTTAAAAGTGGTGTCCCGTAAAAGATTAATTTTGAGAAAAAAATGACCTCGAAGTGCACGAAAATATATTCATCCGAGGAGGAGTAGATAAGAGAAAAGGTTGCAAGACGGAGAAGAAAGAATGGCGGACGTCTCGTTGTGTACGAAAATTTGGCACGCGTGAACAAAATGAAAAGGGTACACTTTCGTGTCAACAGAGTATCTTAAACATCAAAGGTGAGTTACGAATGTATCATTATATACGTGACGTTATCGCGCGCGAAGCGATTACACACGCTTTTCTTGTGTGCGCTCTGTATGTTTACGAATTCCTAACCTGTAGCCGACACACGAGTTTGTATAACCAAGAATCGAGACGATTTATTATTCTTTTTTTCCCTCAAGTATTTTTTCGCACAATTTTATATATTCATATATATACAAATATAATAATAATTATTATTAAAATATTCAACGCACGAAATGTGTGTTTATAAAGATATGTTGCTATATTTTGATCATTATTATTAGTGATTTGTATAGAAAAATAATAATAAATAATGAAAACTCTGTGAAGAAAAAAATATTGTGTGAAACAAAAATATACGAGTAAATACACAATAATATTACACGTTTTGGAATAACTTATTCATGTGTCTCTTTGTGCTATTTTATAAAACAAAAGAAATTATTACAACAGTACAAAAAAAGAAATAAACTCTTTTTTTACAAAGCAATAGGAACAAAGGATGTAAATTAGTGAATCAATTAGGACTTTATTATGAAAATATAATAATTCTTATAATAAAGAAAATATATTAGAACAGAATAGAAAATATGAAAATCAAGAAAGTATAGAAAAATGTTTTATTACAAATTGAAAAAGTAATTATTCTCTCACTATGCTAGAAAATCACAAGATATATACATATACAATATTATCAATTTATTGCTACTTTTATTGTCAAAGTTACAGTCTCTAGAATCAGATATAACAAGTTTTCTACACAAATAATTATAATATAATAATCATGTTTGTATGATTATTGTATTTTTGTCTTTTTTCTCGTATAATGAATCCTCTTAATATTCCTATCTTTTCTTTGATATTCTTTATATTGACATATCAAGATGATATTAATTTTATAAGCTTATGAATATATTATATGAATGTATTATATTCGTATAATATAAATATGTTATATAATTATATAGACACAAGCTTATAATATAAATATTATCTTGATATGTCAATGAGGATTACATTACATTTTTACAATATTAAAAATAGAAGAATTATTATGTAATATACAATAAAACTTACGATTAGATCTGATTCAGTGGAGAATATAACTTTGACAGAAAAAGTAACAATAATATTGACAATATTATTAACAGCTGATTTGTTGTCATAGATAATGTCATGTTCTTCATAAACATCAATTAAATTTTTATGAAACTTTTTCTCTAATTTAAAATGACACAATATATATAAAGAGACAGGATATCAATATACTTAGGCAAATAAATATCCTAATTATTTAGTATATGCTAAGAATTACTCAAATCTGTGATATATATATAAAAGAATGATTTTACATTTATACCAATTCGTATTACACATTTATTACACTTGGAATTAGTATCAATTAATATATTACAATTGATGTTAAAAATTGTATCATACACAAACACACATACCGAAATTTTGTAACAGCTCCACAGCGCTGTCCTTACAGATTGTATTTTGCGTAGAAAATTTAAATCTTTCAAAATCGTGATCCAGCGGACTGTTCATTTCCAATCTGCAAACAAATAAACAAAAACCGTATGAGCTTTAATAAGAGAACGCGTAAGCGTAAAAATTACATTTGTCTCAAGAAATATCCTACGTCATAATATATTCAATATACGCGCGGATTCATTTATTCCAGCACAGAAACAAGCAAATCAATTATTTATAAACGAATTATAACTATTTTCTTCATCATCATCTTTGTGTGTAAATTGATAAATGTTTGCATCATACTTACAGGCATTGTTATTAACAATGCGGATTGTCATAAGGTCGTCAAGATCGGTTTATCCTTAAATCCAACTGAGATTGAAATTTCACCGGATGCTAATTAACGACACAGTATCACAATATCGTAATTTCTGCTAAATAGTAATTTTTAGTTTCGATTAAAAAAAAAAAAAAAAAAGACCGGTGCTAAACTTTGCTAGTCGCGACAGATTTCACACACGACATGACGCACGCGATGACACCGGCGACTCGACTTTTCACGTTGAAGAGCCGCTGTGAATCGGTAAACGCACTGTTCAGCGGTAGGTAAAATCAATTAAACACGTGCGTTTAATGTATCGCATCTTCTTGGCGCGCAACGACGAGGGAGGGGAGGGAGGGAGAAATCGGTTCTCTTATCCCGGTGGATCGCGACGGCGGTGAATCTTCTTTTCTTTTACGTTTTCCGCGAGAGTAACTGGTAGACGCGCCGTCGTAGTCGCGAGAGAGTATCTATCCCTCCTGACGTTGGGTATAACAATATCGTACTCCCGCGCTTCCCTTGGGGAGGGGCTTTCTCTTATATATGATTAAACATGGCTGACAATATATTATGGCTTGATCACTGCTTTTTGTTGCTCATAAATATATACAGTACTACTATACACTGGTCGTATATACTTTCGAGATTTGAGCAAAATTTCCTCAACGTAGGATGCGCAATCTCCGATGATGGTCACGTCCGACTAGTCTCCGTGTCTAATTTCAACTTATTATTAGTACGTTTTGTGTGTATATATGTATATGTAATATTTATGTACATATATACATATATTTCGAGTTGCTAATATGGCGGCGACGAGGAAACGCGAGGATGAGCAGGCGCGCGCGAACGAGCGGTAGGATAATCAACTCGGTGTGAATCGGTGCCGAACTGTTGAAGGCACCGAACTGTTCAGCGACGGGTTCAGAATGTTCAGATGCGTTGTTTTGTAAGGACGCGCGCGCGCGCTCGCGCTCGCGCGCTCGTTCGCTCTTGCAGCAGACGGTCGGATTATTGCGTTCCTCCCTCCCTTTTCCGCCCCTCTTCTCTTGCATCTCCCTCCTTCTCTTGCTCTCTGTGTGTTTTCCTCTTCTTCCCGCCGTTGCCCTTGCTTCTGTCATTTTTCTTGCCGAGGCTCGCAGCGATTGGAGGATAGAACCTACATAGGTGATGCATGTTGTGTACTTATACACGGATAACCTGGGTATATATATTTTCTTTGCATGGAACACAACAAGTATAAAAGAATATTATACTGAACGTGGATGGAGAGAAAGAGAGAGCTTCATTTATATATTGGGCGCTCTGGGACAAGATGGATAGAGGAAGATGAAGGTAAAAGAGAGAGAGGATTAGAGGAAGAGGCTGAGGGGATGCAAGGGGAGAAAGCGGTTGTGGAAGGAGTTCGAATTGAAATTAAGTCAACCTAATGTACACTGAAATGCAGGTGGGGAACCAATCAGCGACAACCACGCAGGCGCAGTTCGCTGAACTGTTCCATGTGTCCCAAGTCTTTCTCTGCTTCCCTCCCTCTTCCGTAAATTGTAGCTTTTCCTACCATTCCTTCCTCTTTCCCACCACCTACGCCGGTTTTTTTCTATCAAATTTCCTCTCACCCCTTTCCTCCCGCTTCTTTCCTTTTCTTTCTTGCTTGCACTCACTCTTCCAAATACCGTAGCTTTCGAACGAATCCCTCATTCCCTGCAATTCCCCAGCGAAATCGTCAACGCCAGCTATCCAATTGCCACCTGTCATCCATTGTACTTAAAAGCACTGCCGACATTTATATCCATAATTTTGCGACGGTTCTTCTGGTTTTATAGGAATTGAAGCAGTTTGTGTGTTTTCTATCCCTTCACGCGTGCACTTTCACACAGCCATTATGAACTCTAAACATATACATATTGATCGGAAATTGTACTACAAAGATCAACTGTCAATCTAAGCACAACTATTCTTAGAGATCGTTATGATAAGCTTTATACCGTAATTGAATCTCTCGCTGTTGACTTAATTTTACAAAGATTATTACATCGCAAAAGCAGTCCCCACCCTCTCTTCTTCAACAATATTAATAGTATCCAATTATTATTAGCATATTTAGTTACTATTCAAGCAAAGCTCTCTCTGTAATATATTGTAGAGTATTATTAGTAGCTTTTCATACCCGAAATACGCGATTTTTTTATTTAATTACACATTGTTCTTCAATGTCAAAAACAAAAAAAGATAAGAAAAATTAACAATAGACTATTGTACAACTAAAAATATATATGTTTTATTACGTAATATTATTATCATCATTGCATATGCATGTGCTGAAAAAAAACCTGAAACAAGTACGTCTTTTAAATTCTACTTTTTTCAAGAAGACTCTAAAATGTGCTTGAATAGTACAATTGTATCTCGAATAACCGGTTTGACTAACGTAGTTTACGCAAGTGAGGCGTGGCTGGTAATGGAGGTCGATGAGGACGAATATAGTAGGGGGAACTTAACGGAACATGTCGAAAACGACCGAATCTGGCGAGTCTATTGATCGTAACGGATTTCGGTCCTGAGATATTCGACTAGCACAATGCCGGGATATTCTATACTTAGCTGCCAGCGTGGGGCGGCTCTACTTGACAAATGAAAAACCCCGGGAGACGAAGTAGAATGATCGTCTAGAATTCTGCAATTGTATGCCTCAATATATAGGAAAATAGCGATCTTGTAAATTACTTGAAAACAACTATATCCCTTTTGGAATTATAGTTGTTGTAGACTTATAGACCTCAAAATTTATCGTTATCATTACGGTGTTTTGTGCACAGTATACAAGGAATCAAAACGCTATGTAATCAACTCCGATGATGTCATTATCCGTAATGAATAGCATTAAAAAGAGAATGGATTGAAGGCCACGACGTTCCGCTTGTTGTCTACAAACTGTGCTCATACAATCGCGTACAAAAGCTATATCATATGTTTTGGTTTCGCGTTACGCGGTCATACGAAACCCTACATCGTTGTAGCTATGCTGCTATGACATTTGGCTATTATAAAAATCGATATAATAGCGAATGTCTCTACAAAAGCTAATACAATTACGTACAATTAGCCAACTAGCTAGTAATCGCGCCAATTTTGCGTTTGTAAAGCTGCAAGCTGCATGCAATTGGATGGTCAAATATGCATCCGGCTGCCGCCGGTATTCACATTCCGCGAAATACTTGACTATCGATTCCTCTCATCTGCTCCCCCTCTCTCTCTCTCGCCCGTATAACTCTTCCCCGTCCTACGGTTAGAAATTCCGTACTAGTATGCGCAACGACCGTGTTAGTTCGCGCAGAGAGGGTAATCTCTTTCATGGAGCAGGCGAGATTACCAGGATATAGTAGTGGCGTAACTTGGGTATGGGAAAAGGACACTGAAGAGAGAGAGAGAGAGAGAGAGAGAGAGAGAGAGAGAGAGAATATGGAAGACGCCCCTTGATGCACATTGACCCGTTGCCTCCCCTCAGAGCCCGGTTTCATTACCGAGTTGCGCACAACTTTCTAAGCTCGATTCCTGATGAGTTTTGTTCAAGTTACTCGGTTAGGGGAAAGGGAAAAAAGCTGTGGATTCTCGCTTCGTTAGCAAGGCTACACGTCTTACGATTCGTTCGAGCTTGTTGTGCGCGAAAGCACTTCACGGATCCGGTTCTGCGTCTCTCGTCGACAACAATTTTAACTCCTTTTCTTCCTGCGCACGTTCTGCGCAAGATCCGTTCTACGACGAGTTTATCGTGATAAATTTTCATGCACTTGCACGATTGATATATTGTCAATTGGTGACTAATTGGAAGTGTAAGTGGCACAAACAATCTTATGGACCGCAAGCTTATTAAAATCGATTAAATTGTCTCTCGTCGGAAGAGAATATTATTTTATCATTTCTCCCAAAGTTGAAACTGCTCGTTATATTTGTTTTATTGTATTTCGCGATAAAATAATATTTAATAAACATTAACAATCTACTACATGTATGCAATTCATGATATAAAATGTATCTCTTCTATAACTGAAGAATCATATGGATTATTATGGATCGTATTAAAGTTTTGTTATATATATGCAAATATAGATAATAAATATGCATATATTTGCAAATATGATACGTGTATAACATATATCTTCGTATATGTTTTGCAGAGCAATCACGTAAAGCAAATGCTTCAGCATAACATGTATATATGAGTCTATATACAGCTAACGCGAAATGCAATAATCGAGTACAAGCCCAATATTACTCAACCGCGACGTGAGTTAACGAGTTTGCAAAAAGCGCAATAAAAAATAACAGCGCCCTCTCTTTCTCTCTCTCGCTCGCTCTTCTTTCTTTCGCTCTTCTTCTCTCTCTCTTTCTCTCATCTATGACCCCACTACTACTGCTGCAGAGGGTGAAGGCGAAGTAATAGCACTGGAAATTTCCACGCTCTCGTACTGCGCCTGCGTGCTGCGTCGCTGCGTTGCTGGTCAATCGGTTGCCGTTGTTGCTGCTGCGCTTGCTTGCCCTCACCTCACTCCTCAGACTCCTCACTCTGCGTGACAGAACATCAGAAACGACCAGACTCGACAGAGAGAGAATGTTTGGGGAACGCGGGGATATTCATCTATTTCTTCCGCAATCCCCCTTTTCCTCCTCTTCCATTTCCATCTACCCCAGAGATGTCTATTCACATACATATAGCTGTATAGAAGAACTTCTACACATTTACCCACATATACCAATAAACTTGCGGCTCGCTTTGAAAAGCCGATTCCCCTCCACCTTTGTTCTCTTCTCTTTTCCCATCCCTCCCTTTTTCACGTATACAATGGCTCTCTTTTTGTTACGTTCCTGATCTTCCACTATTTTTTTTATTTTTGCTTTTATAGCCTGCAGTTAAAGATACAATGGTATCTATTAGTGAGCACTATTTTGTAAAACCTATACCTGTCCATGACCCTAGATCTTATGATATTTCGTGTTTCTCGATAAAGAACTATATTCGAAAACTTTGGAACGACGTCAATTAAACAAAGGGAAAATAACTTCTCTTTTTATATTGAAAATTATATAATATAAATTCGATATATGTAATACAGCATATTTTGTGATGAGTTCGTAAAATTGGTTATCGGGAAAAACGCAGATAGTTCCTTCTTAAAGTTATGCAAACAATTTTCGAGACGTCCGCTTTACTTTTTTTGCATGACGATGTAATAATTTAATGTTATTCGAAAGACAATAGAAGTTTTAAAAATATACGACTGATTAGATCATCAGCAATATATGTGGCCACGATAATTTTCTACCGCAGCGTGCGACAGTTAATTCGCAATTTGACCTCGTTTGTTGACCTCACTGGTTGCTAGGCACTAGTCGCATCGGGGCAAGCGAAGCAAGAGGAGTTAAGCTTTTGCGACGTTGCCAAATTGTTCGCAAACGAACCAACCAACACGACGTAACCAACCAACCAACCAGCCATCCAACTAGCCAGCCAGCAAATCGGTAATCCAAATGTGCTGAAAACTTCTGACACTCTGAATGGGTTAATCGATCAATTACGCGGCATAATTAATCGTCCTATTGACAGTTTTTTTTCCATGTTTTTGTTTTTATATTGACAAATTTACACACACACAGTCACAACACACACATACACAACTTATATAAATATATGTTATCCATATAACTTATATAAATATATGTTATCTATAAATTATATAATTTATAATTAAATATCTTTGTAGAGATCAATATATTTTTAAACTTTAATTGTCTTTCGAATAACAGTAAACCATCACGTTTTCATACAAAAAAAAGTAAAATGGACGTCTCAAAGGAAATTTTTACACGGTTTTAAAAAGAAACAAGAAAAAACAAAAAAGTCTGTATTTTTTTCGATATCACTTTCGAGTTTAAAGTAGAAAAAAAAGATAAAAAATAAAACTTTGTTATAAATTATTTTTGTATATAAAATAATTAAAGTGGTTTTTTCTTTTTTTTTTTTAAATTGGCATGAAAAATAATCGTCGTTTAAAGTTTTAAATATATTCCTTTATTGAGAAACATTCTGTAATAATTATAGAAATGTTAACATTTGCTTTTATTTCGGCAAATATATATATATATGTTTTGCATATTTAACATTTTAACATTTTTTATTGATTTAGATAGAAGTATCTTATCGTTTCTATTGAACTACGTTCTAAAAATATTATCTATTAAAAAACTACGTTACAAAAATTAATTGTTTTCAATATTTCAAAAGATTTTTCTTTTTTATTTTTAAAAAACTTATATTTTTATCTTTAAAAATATTCGAAAATTTATCAGTTTTATGCTGATGATATTCTGTTCTTCTTACTTTACCTGTGGAATTCTTTACATCTTTTTATGCTTCCATTTAAAAGCACACACAACATTTACATGTGTGTGTGTGTGTGTGTGTGTGTGTGTTTGTGCGCGCGCGCGTGTATATGTATGCGTATTTTACTTTTAGAGAGAACAAAGGAGGAAGGAAATAAAAGACCATAGCTAAACAAGTTTTTGTGATCTTTTTGTACTTTCTTTCCTTTTCATTCTTTTTTTTAAATTTACCCTGTATTAAAAAATGAAAGATACACGAGTAACAAAGGTGAACTTTTATATATTTTCGGACAATGAAACACAGCTGGTTTTGTTGGATTGATTCTTCTGTTTTTCTGATACGACGTTATGTGATATAAATTATGCCGATTATACAATTGAGGAAGCAAAACACATCTAAATATGTGCATTTACAATTGATATATGATGTTATTTTGATCCGTTATATTTAGTGTTGATGATTACGTAACTAATGACTAACTTCGAATGATTTACTGTATAAAGGAATATTATTTTTAGCATGTAAATAAAATTAGCATGTACATAAAATTATAGTATAAATATAAATTCTAAATCACAAGAAGGCGTAAAGAGCCAAACGCGGATGTTGAAAATAAACCGTGCACAAGGCAACGTATTATTCTCGGTGTACTAACCAAGACTTGAAAATTGAAATAATCTCTTACTTGAGATTTTAATTTGAAATCATCTCTTACTTGAGATTTAATTTCAAAAACCCCTAATCTCCCTACGGAAAAATTATAGTATATTTCTTTTTTTCTCTTCCTCTCTTTTTCTGTTTCTCTTACTTATACATACATCGATAAATAATTATTTATCTCATTATTTCTTTTTACCCTGATATGATAATAAATTAATAATGATAAAACCCTATATAATCTCTTTCATCTTATTATTCAATATTCTTTATTGTTCTATCTTATTAAACTATTAAGTTATAATTGGATAATTATTTTTCTGATATGACTTTGATAAATCTCATATCTCTTACTTAATTAAAATGTATTACATATTATAATTTCCTAAATTTATATATTTTTACATTTTGTAATATACATATAGACACATTTTTTGCAATGAACGATAGCTTCAGTTAATGTTTTTTTCAATATTTCCATCAAATAACATTTTTTCAATATTCAATATACTAATTAGTTATATTTGACTTTTGCTTGCTTTGATATTGTTTTTCTTCTTCTGTAACAAATCTTTTTTTCAGCTGTAAATGTTCTTATAAATATATAACAATTTTCTAAAAAGTCTATATTACACTATTTATTTACATTAATTAATTAAAACTAACAAAAAGTATTTATTTCAAATTTGTTAAGTTCTTTTATAATATATCCAAAATAAAAATAAAAAAGAAACAACTGTGTCTGTTTCTTAATGAGTTTGATCCTATTATTTACGACTTGATATATTGAAATTAAAGTTACTTCGAAACACTTTAATTAACTTTTAAGTAATAAGCGATTTTTCTGTAATGTAATGCAAAACATTACAAATTTGTCAGTTTATTTTTTCAATTCACGTTTCTCTTACTAACAGACAATACACAAATTTATAATGAAACGATACTAAAGAGATATAAAGAGGTGTCTTATCATTTAATACCAGTTTTACTATATACACTAATAACGTTATCTCACATTGAGAATCTTGACAAATTATTATTGGAATGCGGAAACTTTCATGAGATTTAACGATGTGTTTTTCTAGCATCTTTTATTGGATGATTCAAAATAAATGAAAGAAGAGATTAATTCTTCTGATAACGCGAGTAATAAGAATAATGGAATAGACGAGATTCTTTTTATTAACAATTATTTGAAAATGCCATGCATACACAAATCTACATTTATATCTCTCAATCAACAAAAATTATATGAAATATTTGTATAATTAACTTCAATAAATGATAACATCGAAATTAATAAATGATACATTAAAAACATAATTAAAAACTTAATTAAAATATCGTTAAAATATACATGTATATAGTTCTGAGTAATTATTTTCTTTTATTAGACTGTACTCCGAATTTTAATTTAATTTTCTGCTTCATAATCAACTATTTAAATTGCATAATTAAATTAAATACATACAGAGCAAAATCAAATGTTAGGTTATATTACAACTAAAATAAAATAACTTTTTTTTTTAATAATTTTCAACTTGAGTAAATATGTATAATAAAACATAAACACACAAAATTATTTATAAAAATTAATAAACAAAATTTTGTACTCTACTTTTTTATGTTATTAAATCTCTTCTATAATATTTAATATTTAAATATTATACATCATATATTAAAACATGGACAAAAATATAAAAATTATATAATCCAAAAAATAATTCTTTACATAATTTTTTAATTAATTTAAAGTTATTTAATTGTTGCGATTGCATTACTTTTTTAATGGAAAATTGTATATTATGTATAATACTTATCAAGTAAATGAAAGAAAACATTACTAGTCAGATCAGGATTTGCAACCGCATTAAACAAATTTTAATATGCATATATGCAAAATTTTATTCGATCAATACTGTTATATTATTCTTGAAAAAAATTTTGGAAATTTTTTTGCTCAAATAATGAGATGCAAATGTCGGAATAAAAAATTATTGAAAAAGTCACCTTCCGATTAATGCGTGCAATAATGAAAATGCAGCAGGTACACTTTTTATAATATATACACTATTATCTATAATTAACCGCAGTGTCGAAAAGAAGCCGCCAATATTGAATCTCACCGTGCTTCCACCTAGATCACGCTTCCATAATCACGATCACTATATTTACGGTATCCATTGATATCATCGCGACGACACAGTCCAGCGAGCTAAATTATCAACAAAGACTATCAAATATCTATATTGACTTCTTTGTCTGTTTAGTGTAATTTTACCCCGACGAAGATACCCCGTTCTTCCATTAATTAAATTTCACAATTTCCTAATTAAATTTGCTACATAAAGATAATCTATTCCTGTTGTGTATTGGTTAGTGCTGATTGTGAGAACAATATTTTGTAAACATTGCGATTGTTCTAAATAATTCAACTTTGTTGTGACACGTCATTCGTTCTGTCAATAAAATAAGAAACTAATAATGAAAACAAACTTTATTTTGTGTAATATTTTTAGTCCGGTATTTTTTTATTTTAAATTTAAAATAAGTAAAATTTCTTTATTCTATGTTTTTCATTAACAATTTATGATATTTTAAAATACATACATAAAAATTGTTTTCATAAAATTAATATAAACTGGTGATAGCAACATTTATTGTTGAATAAATTAAATTTGATTGTATAATGTAGTTAATATTATTTGTTGAATAATTACATGTAATTGCAGACTGCATTTTGAATAAATTATATATGAAAATTGTATATGAAAATAAAAGATTATAATTATATAAGTTATAATATGTGCAGCATAGGAAAATTTATTTGATGTAATATAGAGAAACTACAGACATTTGAAAGTATAGAAAATATTAGATTTACTCGTTGCATAATGTCTATAAGAAAATTAATAAAATTAATTTATCTATTGTAGACTAACATACTTGAAGGCTTTTGAAGGATTCGAAGAGGAATAACGAATGTCACAATTAAAATATGTTTGGATCACTACGTAGCAAGTTTCAAACTGTGCAAGAAGGTATATCTGCTAGGTAAGTGTTTACGTTTCTTATTTCTTATGCAAATTTAATATGGATAATATCATGTGCGAAACTCAATAATTGGCAAAAATTCTGGAGATAGATTGGAAAGTTATAACAAAATAGAAATTAAAGATATTGAAAATCATTATTCATTATTAATCGTTATTTCAGTATACGAGGTCTATCAACTGCTGAACATCCAAAGAACAAGAAGTTTGTCAATGTTCGAAAAGTAAATTACAATGCGGGTGCAGATGTATTGCACCACTTCCAATTGCAGTGGAATGAGCTTCACGAGCTTGCAGAAGAAAATGCAGGGAAGGCTCAGGAAGCTGATACATTGATATCCTCTATTTACGACAAGCTTGAACACGAATGGAACAATGTTGCATGTTTAAATAGCACTCTAGCCTATATTCCAAAGATTAACAATGCACTTCAAGATCTTATGGATCAAATAGGTAAATTAGCTTTAGAGATAAATATGATAAGATCATCAAGACAAAAACAAGAAGTTTTCTAAAACTATGATTTATTATATGTCCTTAGGTAATTTACAAGAAATGTTTGAGGAAGTTGAAGGAGCTTTGTATCGATTGGAAGATTTGAATGAAATGTTAGATTTGCAAAATAGACAGCTGGATCATAGATTTCAATTGGCTTTGTACAAAGAAAAGAAGTTGATAGAATTAAATAATTTCAAAGGTATTTCATGTAATAATAATTCATTTTCTACATACAGCTAATATTTTTTTATTATTTATATATTTAACTTTTTTTTAGCAAAACTTGGTAAAGAGCACGTTGAGAGAGTCTCTCAACATGAATTAAATCAACAAAAAAAATTGAAGGAACGTCGAGAGACCTTTGAAGAGGCTTTCAAAGAGGACCTTGAAGAATACAAAGCAACTGGATCTATATCAAGTATGCTTTTATTTTTATATTTTCTTCCAAAATTAAAAAAAAAATATATGAATCTATTGTAATTAATTTATCGATTACAAATCTAGAACTGCCAGTTTCTCAACAAGGCCCATCTTTGGATGAAATAGTATTAGACATCGATTCTAAGATATTTGATGAATTTTTAGAAAATTAGAAAAAAAGAAACCATAAGCTTACGTTATTACAAAAGTTATGATGTTCAATTCAAGATGAAATTGTGTATGCATTGTATGAAATGTAATCTTTTTAACTGCATTTTTTATAATTAGATATTAAGGCTGTGGTTTGGACAATTCAAGCTTTCTAATATAAAGAGACCTGAAAAATAGCCAAAAATTTTTCGGATAAATTCTTCCAGAATCTTGTATACATCACTGCTTATAAAAATTGTTTTTTAAATTAACATTTTGTATAATTTTTTGTAGATATATTTTGTTATTGTATTATGTATTGTTTAACATTTTGATTAAAGAGAAATCTGTTTTGATTCCTATAAGAAACTTGTATGTATAAATGTATGAGAAAAAATTATAAAATTTTATTAATAAAAAAAAATATTGTATTGTGCATATATATAAGTCGATATCGTGCAAGTTCTTTATTTAACACAAATTTAAAATTAGCTTTGGAACAGCTGATTACCAGAGACCAGAGCGCCATGGAAAATCGTGACACTATTGCATGCGGCACTTTATCAGTGTTTGAATTAACGAATTAAAAAGCTGATTAAAATTTAATCCATCATTTAAGAAGAGCCAAACAACTAGACATTCTTTTAGGTACGATATTATTATATAATGCATATAAATATAATAAAATTGTAGATATTATATTTTGTTATTTTTAGACTAGAGTTTCGAGGTTATTTATCATCCCCCAAAGAAATACATAAATTATAAATGATATTGTGATATTTTTATGTAATTAATTTTAAGGGGGAACGAAGAGTTTGTCGATAAGTAATAAACAAGCAAGCCTACAATGGATCCGAATTTTCAGAGAAGAAGGAGAAAGGAAGGAATCTATGATAAGTTTCATAGAGGCTTTGTAAAGACCTGCATGACTGTCACAGGAATTGCCTCCCTTTTCCTCGGTTATAAGGTTTATGAATATTTTCGATATGTTCGACCTTTGCATAATGCGCAGAAAAAATTGGCTCAGGAAGAACTCCTCAGTGAAGGTAGAAGCATAGAAGACTCTCCGAGTATAGAATTGTCAACGTAAGGTACAATATGCAGCTGAGATATCTTGGTATATAATTGAAGAAAGAAATAAAAAAAGTTAAATGTGAAAGAGATAACATCAAGCAATGTATTCACAAGAATCAGAAATACTTGTACGTACTGCAAATAAAGTTCACTTTATAATGAACATATAAATTGTAAACCTCACAGTAGATGATAAAATTGAGAATTATGCTCAGCGGAAATGTAAATAAACTTGACACAATGTATACATTATTATGTTTTGTATAATAAATATAGAATATATTCCATTATTATTAACTTTTATTTAATGTATTAAATTTTATTTATTATTAATTACTATAATAATATCACTTCTTAAGTTATAAAATTAATAACTTTAAACTTGCTACATTAAGCTATAAAATTGAGTTATAAAAACAAATATACAGTCCTTTAAAATTGTTAAATATAAGAAATATTATCAATTAAAAAAAATAATTTATAAAAAGAGCATACAGAAAGAAAATCTTTAAGTTATTATGCAAAGGTATCTTATGACCACTAATCATTATATTTATTTCATTCGAGAAGTTAAAATCATTATTTTTTATCCTGGTTCCCCCAATAAAATGCATAAAAATAATGTTAAGTTTTATGCCAGCAGAGTTTATTTCGTTCTCTATTGTATAAAAAGTATATATGTATTGTAAAACATTTCGGGCCCTGAGTTATCTTCGTCGAAATTGGTGTAAAATTTTGAACCTCGAGTTTGTAGCCTGAATTTTAATATTCATGAGACTTACATTAGCCAAGGAACGATTGCATCAGTCTCGATTAGTGCTAACCAATTAAATTTTCTTATTTTACTACATTATGAGAATTAAATTAATCAGAAATCTTTGTTTTATCAAAGACAAAACAAAGAAACTTTTCTGAATTGGAGTTAGTGAGTTCACATATCGTTGATGCAATCGAACCTGACACAAAAATCTTTTATATAATGAATAAGATACAAACTTTTATACAATAGGAGAATATATGTAATTTGTATATATATACTCTACTTTCTATTAATAGACATAAATAGGACGCGGGATAAACTTGGTGATGTTTTTGTGAGCGTTATATACAAACATGGCTTCCTCAGCTATCATTTTCTTATGCATAAGAAAACACATCTACTTATATTTAATATTTGTAAAATGCATAGCAAATCGCCGTTTAATTCAAACATAATAAATCCTATTAAATTTAGTACACTCGCACTTGTTTTGCACAATACTGAAATATATAAAATTAACGAAATCTACACATGAAATATATAAAAACAGTACAATCTGGCTAGTTATTTTCAAAATTAATAATTATATGATAATTTGCATAAATATAATATATTTACATTGAATTTCAAAAGCATGTGTGTACGTTCAATGATATATTTCTTTTAATATTTAGAACATTTTATATTGATTTTCTTTATGTCATTTAAATAATAATTAATTAAGATTAATTATTTTTAGTAAAGATATTTACTCTAAAAATTGTAACAATATTTTTCGCTTTATTATTTTGTCATTGTAATACTTTATCACTAATGACAGAAATATAAATTTTTACATATATAATTATTTTTTTCTTTTCATTAGTTTAAGAATATGGAAGGATAATTGTCAGCAGCAATTAAAATGTCATATTAAAAAATCTGTATATTAAATAAAAATTTTATGTCTACTATTTACACATGTATATCGGTCAAGTACAACTTACATTTATGAAAATATAATCGTATTTGTGTATAATGAATGATAATATAATAAATGTATAACGAATGATAACAAGCAGTATAAAGCAGTTTCAAGTACAGCATTATCAATACAGTTCAATTTTTTATGTATTATATTCTTTGCTATAATAATGGATGATTTGTACTCTAGACAGTTCCACTTATAGCATATTTTCCAATAATGCGCTTTGAGAAAACATTTGTTGATATGTATGTTGTATGTATAGATGAACACGAAATATATGAATAATATATGAAATAAAATGCTTTATACTTAGTTTCGTAAATATTCTGACGCTTATTATATATCAGTCAGTATAAATTTGATTTTAAAATTAGGTGATATAATAAAATAAATTTTGTGTTTAATATTATTATGTTTAATTTAATAATATTATTTGAGAATGATTATATTTTTCCAATTAAAATCATTCTATGCGAAAAATAAGTTAAAACGTTTTTAAACGTTAATTTAAAAAAAAACTGCATGTACAGATATATAAATGTATGTAGAACGCACAATGTCATGAAATTGTAAAACAACCATTAAATTATAAAAATTCTCATTTTGCACATCCGTAAAAAAGTACCAAGAATCAACATCTATAAATAATACAGAAGGCAATGAATTTTTATATCATTGATATTTATACATTTGTCAAGCAAAAACGAATTCAACTGAAAACTAACTTTTTTAAAAATTAATTGACAAGCTCGACAGTTAAAAGTATAAGAATTTTTATTAGGCCTTTATTCGAGCAATGAAATTAGAATAAAATAAAATAAGAAAGACAAAATATAAAATGTAACACTTATTTGATACGGAACGTTTGGTACTTTTACTTAAGACTTCGTAGAAGTAAGAGTTCTAACTTTGTTGCTCGAATAAAGGCTTAATAAAAATTACATCTTATAACTTTTTTAATATAATATAAATATTACACATTTAATTATAGAACAATTTTAAAATTAAATTTATACTGACTCATGTTCAATGATGTATACATAAAAAGCAATACAAAATTTGTAAAATAAATCTAAAGTATTTCATTTTGTACGTATATGTTCGTATATACAAATATATACCATATCTATGAATGCTCTTCAAAGTGTATTATTGGAAAATATGTTAAAATGAATCTGTCAAGAATACAAATCATGTCTATTATACAGCAAAGAATAGTATATATAAAATCCAGAAATGTATTGCTGTATAATATTATATTATACTATACTTAAAAAATTTCTGCTTATTATCATTTGTTGTACTTTCATAAGTAATGATTGTTTTCATAAATGTACATTGTATACAGAGTCAGCTGTCAGAGTTAATGTATGCTGTATTTTGTACTCAATAGTATGAACAATTTCACTTGATGTAGAAAATACATTGTCTTCTGTATAATTTAGTAGCTCTCAAATGTGGTAAAAAATTTAGCATTTTTTTTGTTTAGATATTACGTAAAATAATTTTTATAATTTGGCAACAGATAACTTCGACATCTTTACAAACATATATCTATGTGCGCAGTTTGTGCATGCGTGTTGTATATATATATATACATATATATATATATACATGTACACATACTTATACATTCGTCCGTACATTCTAAATTAAAAATAGACATTACTGCCGATCTGTCACGATTTGTTTGCGAAAAATACATTTTTACCCTTTGTACTGTAGCTGTAGAGCTAAATAAAAAGTCTCTCATAAACGCTTAAAATTTAGCGAATTATTTCACGCGCGGCATGAAAATCGCACAGTGCGGTAGCATTGGAAAATTCTAATCTTACAATCTTATACTTGAAAATCGAATACTTGCACAAACCCTGTAGCCCATAGGCTAGAAACATTCTGGAAAACGGTCGCTTTGTTTACTGATAGACTATTATGAGTTGTTCGATGTAGGATTGGAATTCGACATCGATTCTACGCGCATTGAATCGATTCTGGCGACGATTTTTAACGCAGGGCCTAACTTAATACTCATAGCCGACATGAGATGATCCTCTTTCAATAACATGAGAGCTTGACCATCAATCTCCTGAATAGCAAAGTCCTCCGCGTAATCGGCGCATCCTGGTAGACCGCGTATGAACTCACACACTTCACCCACCTATAAAATATAACAATTGTCATTATTGTAAGAAACAATATAATTTTTAATAATTTCACCGTTGCATTACTTTTTTTCGTGCGCGTTGTCTCTCATATCATATATATATATACTATATACAAATATAAAAATATTTAATTACCGTCCATTTAACTGGATTCACTTTCGGCAGTGATTCATCAGCAGAGGAAGTAGTAGTAGTAGATAATGATCTCTCTTCGCCGTTCTTCTTCGCTATGTCATTATCGACAGTTTTAGTTTCAGTCTCTATTTCAGTCCACTGTTTTTCTGTGCCATCGCGATCTCGTGTTTCGCGTTTTTACTGCAGATAAGATGAAACATAGTTTTCATTAAAAGTAATATTTATAAACAAGTATTATATTTATGAAAATATAATTGAACAAAATATATTCATTTAATATATATATATTAATAATATACAAAATATTATTAATTTTATATTAATAATTTTATTATTAACAGGCGCTTACCTCTTTGCACATATTGATGAGCAGAATCGTTTCTCTTTTTTGAGCTTGACGTTCTGTTCATCGATTGCGTTACCGCAGCCTTCACACTTGTTGACTTGGCCATTAGCTCCATCCTCTTCATTCAAATAATTAGGACAATGTTTCTTCTCTATATACACAATTCAAATTTGCATTAAATTGAATGTAAAACATATAATGTTGATCATTTATAAAAAGTTTACTTACTTGCAGGTTCTTCGTGAGTTTCTCTCTCCGTAGCTGTGTTGCTTCGATTGAGGATATTAGTAGTCTCCTGACTTACTGCGAAAGGTTCTGATGCTACGACAAATTATAAAGAGAAAAATGTAAAAATTTAAATTTAATATAAGCAATGTATGAGAAAGAAGGAAAGAGATGAAAATGCAATTATATTAAAAATGTCACACACCTTCTTGTATCACAAATCCTTCTATCACATGGGTAAGGACCTGTGGTTTCACCATAGCTTTAGGTGGTGCTTGTTTATTGTTCACTGTGATTGGTGTTGAAATCGCCATATTCGGTGACTCATCGCCGGTAACACCGTTCGTAATAGCGTTGACTGCATTGGCAAGTCCCGCTAATGGGTTATTGCACTGTTTCTCTTCTATCTTTGAAGCAATTATTTCTTCCTCTTTCGTCGTCGTCTTACATAGATCTCCATCTGTATGTCAAACATTTGCATCTTTATTTCGAATCCGGTAAATTTGCAATTTATTATTATAATAAGAGATTGATTAAATACCTATTATTTCCGTCTGAGGTGCTGCTGCCGCGATTTCTTCCGTAGCAACAGACATGTCATCCTTTTTCAAAACTAACTTCATACTATCGTCAGTTGTCATTGGAGCTAGATTTGTAGTAGATGGCAGTATGATGGAGCATTCAGCTTGCGGATTACGATCTGGCGACGTGATCATTATAGCCGAATTGGTGTTTTCGTGCGCCGACTGATCCTGGGTCGCGTTCATGATCGGCATCGCTTGAACCTGCGACGCTCCGTTCACTATTTGATTACTTATTATCGTTTGATTTACCTGAAAGGATTGAGGATATTTCATTCTTAGATGCGCTTCTCTATTTGTATTAAAAAAAAAAAAATGTTTATGCGTAAGTATATAATCAGTAATTTAGACATAGTCTATCAATTAGTACCGGTAAAGGAAGCTGTTGTACTGTCGGCATCGAAGGCTGCGGTACCTGATTCATTTGCGGTGTGGCTGCGACTCCAACTCCAACACCTCCTACCGAGACCACTGGCATAATAGAGCGATCTGTGCCCAAGACAACGCCAGATTGTTGCTGTTGTTGCAGTGTCATATTCGCTACGTAATAAAAAAATTTCACATATTAAATATTGTTTACACTCTTTGTAGCAATATTAGTAACACGTTGGTTATCTCGTTGGATATTACAACGTAAATAAATATTATTCGATACTAACTTAGCCAAATAGTCTTACTCATAATGGGTTTAGGTTGTATTTGCTGTTGGGAGGATTGCACTTGTTGCTGATACTGCTGTTGCAGCTGCTGCTGCTGTTTTTGTTGAATGAAGACCTGCTGTTGTATCGTTTGTTGACCTTGCTGTTGCTGTTGTTGCTGCGGAGATTGCATCGGTTTACCACGGCCTTTCCCTCCACCGCCGCCCTTATTCTGAATATTTTTTGATAAATAAAATGTTATTGTATAATAATTTTCTATTAATATTATTTTATTATAACATCATTATTTTATTCTTAATTTTCTAATTACGCCGGTAAATGTACAATTCTCTAAATTACTCAATTGTTAATGCAATCGAATAAATGTATCTCACGTATAGCACTCAAAATAATCGTGACAATTATTATGTGCTAATATTAATATAGTAATCTGTACTCGTACCGCTTGTGCATGAACAGTTTGCGTGGAGACAGAACTAGCGGCACGCATATTGGCAGCTTGCACTGCCAAGGATGATGGCAGAATATTTAAAGGCCGCTGTCCGCCCGTGTTTGGTTTACCCTGCTGCGCCTGCTGCTGCTGAATATCCATGACTTTAGTAGGCTTACCGCTAGCCGCTGTTATCTGCTGCACACCCTGTATCTGTTGCTGTGTCGCTAGAGCTAATCCAACAGTAATAAAATAATTCAATTAGTCTCTGCGTTAATTTTTTTTACCATTATTATTACTGAGGAAATATTAGAAAAATTATAAGAAATATTAAACTCTAATTTTGAATACAACTAATTTATCAGCGAAAAATACTTACCATTGTGCGTTTGTATCGGTTGTGGACTTTGTATGAACATGTCTGGTTGCGTCGCACCGCGAATGAATATCTGATTAGGCCCGGTAGTGAGTAGAGTTGGTTGTTGCAATCCAGTCCATACTTGTGGCGCAAATTGCCAAGGTGCAAATTGCATACCACCGGGTCTTCCACCAGAAGGTGCCCCGGCCGTGCAGGCTGTATACTGTTCGAAATATAGAAAAGATTGTGTAAATATAGATGGTAATATTTTTAAAGAATAGATATAAGATATATGAGATACTATGGAATAAATGTGTTTTTACTACATGTTCACCTTTTGCACCTGGTCTTGCTTATTCGCGGATTGTTGCTGTTGCTGCTGTTGCAACGAAGGTGGCGGTTGCGGTGAACCTAATACACCAAGTTGACCAAAGACCAGTGTTTGACCAGCACCAGGAGTAGCAGATGTGGGTACTGGTAAATAGCCAGCAGGAAATCCTTGAACTTTGGCGCCAGCTGCACCAGGATGACCACCGCCTTGGCCGGGTGTTGATCCCGTTATCATATGAGGAGTCAGTTGAGCTGCAGATTGAAATGGCTTTCCAGCTGTTATCACCTGCAAAGTATATATTGTTCTTTTTAATCCAAAAATGTAAATTTAACAGGGAAAGACAAAAAAGAAGAGAGATATACTCTAGTGCATATTAACTTTCAGTGCCAGAAATAAAAGAATCTAGAAATTAAGTTAATTATACCTGAATAGAAGAAGGATTTATGCCCGCTGGATGCAATGCAAGATTTCCTGGCATCAATAAAGGTGTGCCTTGAGTATTATATAATTGTTGTAAGTGATAAGCTTGACTCTGGAGTGGTTGTTGAATCACTTGGACTGCTTGTGGATGTGCAGCCATTGTAGTTATAGTAGTTCCACCCTGTTGACCAGATAATGTCATGGATACACCACCTACTCCCTGTTGCTGATGCTGCATCGATACTGCAACAGCGCCCTGCAACTTTTTTAAGAATGAGATGTAAAAGAATATCGATAGATTCATTTTTAAAGATTAAAATTACAAATTAAATAATTACCTGTTGTTGAGGCATACTTGCAGCTACCTGTGGCTGCACTTGAACTTGAGTGGGAACAACATTGTGGGGTCCATTATTTTGCTGTTGCTGTTGTGGTTGTTGGGGTTGTTGCTGTTGCTGCTGCTGTTGAACTTGTATTTGTTGTTGCGACTGGACCTGTTGTTGAATCTGCTGCTGCGATTGAACCTGTTGTTGCTGCACTTGTTGAGACTGTTGGACCTGTTGAGGCTGCTGCGATTGCTGTACATGCTGTTGTTGTTGCTGCTGAACATTCTGCTGCTGTTGCAAATCGTGAGTGATCATTATTTGCTGTTGTTGAGATTGTTGTTGGGATTGTTGTTGTTGCTGTGACTGCTGCTGCTGCTGTGGTTGAGACGGTGAAATTCCAATCGGTTTAACATCTGTCATGTTTCCTTATACTCTTTCAAAATTCGAGCACAGATTTAGATAAGCTTCTTTTCTTCTCAGAAAAAGAAGTATCTTTCATCGATACTGTTCAGTTATAGGTAGCTCTTTTTCTTTGCCATTTTACATTTATATTTTTATGGCAGTTTCAATCTTATTATCACACTGTATCTGTAATATAAACAGATATAATATAAACAAATGATGAAATAGAAAATAAAAATTAATTTTTGAATACCTATCTCAACATATCATATATATATATATATATATATATATATATATATAAAATTCTAGTTTCAATTTAAAATTTATTCTAAAATTTCTTTGAAAATTCTATTTAATAAATATATGTAAAAATATACAGAAATTACTTGGATAAAAACCTACATTTAAATAATAAAATTTCTATTTTGTGTACAGTATTATTTTTTGTCTCAATAAAAGCAGGAATCTACTTCGAAATTAAATCGCAGAATAAAAAGAGAGAGAAAAAAAGAAAGTAGCCATTAATTCAATATGTGTTGCCCCCCTAAACATAACCTTCAGAGATACGATGCTTGACGATTATCAGTGGCCGCGTTCAGCGGAAAAAACAGCTTTGTAACTTTTGTTATAAAATTTGTGAATCTGATTGGTATATGCTCTTGATTTTAGCAGAATCTAAGAGCATGCACCAATTGGATTCACGAATTTTACAACAGTGTATAAAGCGTTTTTCTTTCGCTGAACGCAACCATTGCCAGCTAGGCTGTTATCTGTTATAAGTTCGGTGTACAAGAGTGAAGTGTTCTGTGTATGCTCAATATTTTTTTTCGACGTCCACGGAGAGCTTTTCGTTCTAATAAAGTAAGTTTCTCTATTGTCGATTTCTGTGTGAAATAAACGTGCAAGATAAAATTGCATGTGCAGTGGAATCGGAGGAACAAAGACACGCGTGCAGCTTCGCCGATCCGCTTCGATATATGTATACGTCAATTTATCAGTATTTAATATCACCTGCTGCTTTTCATCGAGTTTCATTATCAACCAGGTATTTTCTTATTACGACTTTATCATTGCGGAAATTGATTAATCGATAAAACACGATTGATAGCTTATGTATCATGATTATCTTATGATACATCAGAATTATATTACATATATATATATTACACTGAATACAACTATTTATATATATATATATATATATATATAGTTATTATATATATATATATATATATATATATATATAATATATTATATATATATATATATATATATATATATATATATATATGAATAGTTGTATTCAGTGTAAAAGTCGTGTCAATATTCTATATGAAAGTGACTTACCATACGTAATTTGTGTGGCAATTATTTGTTATGCAATTTTGTTATGCTAGCAATGTGCGATAAGAATAATGCTGAGTATTCCAAAACATTGAAGACTTTTAAAGTCTCATTGATGTATATAGCGGAAGTAATGATTTCATCAAATGTTTTTTCCAGAAGAGTACAGAGATATATACTGTGCAAAATACTATAAAAATATTAATCTCTGTTCACAATTGATAGCCTGAATATTCCTTTTGCATATTTTTCATTCCAATTTCACTCAAATATGATTCAAGTGTTATAATACAGTAGCTTTAATATCAGAATTATTTATTTTAACTGCGCAAATACTTCCTTTTTATTTTCCCTTCAAAAAGCCAATAAAACGTTTATATTCATGTTTCATTTTAAATGCAAAAATATAAAAAATATGTTGAGATGCGCAGATTTAATACCGTTCAATATTTAATACTATTTCATATTTACTACTATTGCGAATAAAGTGAAATGTTATCGCAAGTTTTTGCTTTCTGTGCTTTTATCTGTTTTTATAAATAAGAATTAATATGTTATATGGCATCCAAGTGGCTTATTGAGAAATGTAATTACTCTGTTCTCAAAAATCTCATCAAAATAACACAATTGAGTTTAATGCAAAATACCAAACGTATATTGACATTTATTGTTCCAAAATTATCTTTTAAATTGCAGTCTTTTAAAACAGAATTTAGAAAGCCATGCTTTATTTATAAATTTTTCCATCAATTTGTTTTTTTCCCTAGCAAGAGGTTCTTGTTGATTGCAGATTCTCAATACTACATATCCTTTTAATTAATTAAGACAAAATAAAATTCATAATTCTCATACTTTTTTCCAAATAAATTTTCTAAATAAATATATCTATTTAACAATTTTTCATATGTACTATAATAGTAAGAGATTCAGCTATAAGACTAAATTGAACATCTCATTTATCTTTTCGTCAGATAATTCGACAAAGGCAAAAAAAAAAAATGCCTCTTTCATGGCGGAATTGAAAACGATTTCACAAGGAAACTGGAACATGAAATGTCAATACGCGTTTCATATGTATAAAAGGTGATTTGGTACGTCAGAGGCGTAATGCCAGAGTTCGATATTCCTCTCGATAAAGAAAAACAAAAAAATAATTAATAGTAGGCTATAAAGAGCTAGCGTGGAAAGAAGATCGCGAATGAGCAAAAATATTAAATATATAGAACATAGATTCGTAACTCGATTTATATATATATAAAAAAAAAAAAATGTCGCGAGCACAGAGAACGAGAAAGAGAGAGAAAGAGTTCGACGCCGACGAACTCGTTTGGTAAAACAGAGCTCTATATACCCGGTCACCCGAATAAAAAGCATCGCGGGTGGATATCGATCCGGTACAAAACGCGGGACGAAGATGCATATCCATTTTGGTACGCGTGCACGAGGGAACGAACGAACGAACAAAATGTCGCCCCAGCTCGAACACCCACCATAATTAGTGCCGCGTTGATAGAGAGAAACAGGGAGGGAGGGTCGAGAGCGAAAAAATACGATTGAAAGGCGGGTTAGCGAAAAGGAGAGGTGGAGGAGAAAGAGAAAGAAAAAAAGGAGGGAAGGGAGAGGATGCGGAGAAGGGGAGAGAGAACTGTGCCAGGGGGACGGCTGACACATGGATTTCTCTGTCTCTCCATAATGCAATATAACGGGTGAATGTTTTAATAATAATAAGAAAATAAATACGCGATATATATTCGAGGGAGGCGAATGACGATCCTTCCTCGAAATGCGAGAGAGAGAGAGAGACGCTTTATCGCGATAAAAACACACATCCGGTCGGCGCAGTCCGTCCCTCGTGCGAATCCGGAGCGGGGTTCCGCCGACATATTGAATTACAAAATTAAGCACCGTTCGGAGAAACGACGGGAACGGGCGAAGCGAAGCGAAGCGGCCGGAGAAAGGGACGCACCAGGACGGGGAGGGAAGATGAAGAGAGACGGAGCCATGCAGCGACGTGTATCGAGCAAATCGGCCGGCTCGATTTATCCGACGAATCATTTTCACGTATAGTATACATATTTATATCGCGGGGAAAAGAACAAGTGTGTGTGCGTGTGCGTGTACACCCGACGACGACGACGACGACGACGCCGTCGTCGCGAGTCGACGGAAGCCTCGGCTACGGACATCTTGCTTTATTCAGGTACTCACATGGCGACTGCGCAGTCACACCTATGAAGCACGTTTCGAATAGGCTTGTGCGAGGTGTGTATACAGGGTGTATGCGTCTTTTAGTATACGCGTGTGTGTGTGTACCGACACCACACACACACACACATTTCGCACCGTCGCAGACCCGTCCGTTCACTTTTCCACAGTTTTCAACTATTTGACACTCGGAAAAACGCGAGTTAAAAAAAAAAGAGAACTCGTTACCGCGGGTTCACGGGATCTCGCGAGCGAGTTCCAAGAGTTCTCGGTTATCCGTTGCTATTGCTGCTGTGTGGTGCAGGCTGGCTGGCTGGCTACCTCCCTGTTCCTTCCACACGGTATAACACAAACTACCTCCTCCGTTGTGCCCGCGCGTCCCCGAAGCGGCCATCCCCACCCTTTCGCAGCCGTCCCTCGCCGCGCACCCCCCACCCGAGCGCGCGCTCTGATTGGCTCGAAGGGGGACAAATCCCAAAGGTATCGTCCGCGCCGAGAGGGGCGGAGCCATCAGATATAGTTGGCTATAGGCGCATGCTCGGTAACGGTACTCTCTCTCTTTCTTCCTCTCTTTCTCTCTCTTTTTCTCTCCTTCGCTCACCGCCACCTATCGCACCCAGTTGTTCCTACATACACATGCATGAACACACGTATTCCTCGTTTTTATACGTATACGACACTATAGTCCGTACCATATTTCATAGCATAGCGCGGGCAGACATGTACCGAGTCTTCTGGGAGCCCTCTGCTGTTACAAAGTTTATCCCACGAAAATACAAGATTTGAGAACATTTTTTTCTTGTTATTTTTAGAAAGCTCGTTGTTAATTCTCTTTTCCTTGTTTTCTCTTTTTTTTTTATATTTGTATTATATAATGATGATTAATTGTGCAATATTTTAATGCATTTTATTAATTACGATATTAACAATTTTTTTTTATGTTAACAATGAAAGGTAATTATTTTTACATGTATTGTTTATGTTTGCGCCGTTTATGTTGTATTAATATTGTCTTGATTAACATTTTTCTCTTTGGCAAGTAAATGTAAAGTAAAGATTATATATTTATACGTATATATTTGTTATATTTTGTCTATTTATAATTCACATAATTTGATAATCTCTGTTTAATAATCCCAGTATACGTTGATTTTACACATATCATGTGTTGTACAAGATTTAAGACTTTAAAATTAACTTTTTCTATTAAAGGAGAACGTATTTTATCGAGGATCCAAAGAGAGAATAAATTCCTTAAGAGAGATTATTATTATAACGTGAATCTATGTTCATATATAGCAATTTGTTATTGTAACAAGAACACGAATAGCAAAAGACGTATTCGTACGCGATCAATTATCAATATCGCTAATCAATTTAGCCTTTATGTAATAATGATTGCACGACCAAAAATATCTAGCTACATTATTCGTCTCATGCAAATATGCATCTTTGTTGCACCATTTCACATTATCGACAAGATGACCTATATATAATCTTGACACGACATTATTACTAATTAATTCCATTACTCCTGAATGTTAATAATATTTGCTGTATAAATGAAAACAATCGTTAAAATTGTGGTTAAAATATCCAACTTACATTATCACAAGTATTATCATGAAGCTTATAAAGAAAGGATTTAATCTATTATAATTTCTTAATTATCATTGAAAAAATTTATGTATAATAGATTGAGAAGAATTGAAAAGGCGACAAAAATCGTATTTTTTAAAAATTAACCGATATATCTGAAAGTCAGGTAGGAAAATTTTGACCATAAAAATGTCCTCCATTATTGTTGGATCTCCTAAATCCCTAAGACGTACCCTAAGACGTATCCTAAGGCGGAGAAAACTAGGAAAATGTCTACTTTGACAAAGGTTGCTTATAATACGGCTAATCTTTCTATTGGTATCACGCAGGATATTTTTTGTAATAATAGTCACTTCGTTCAACATGATTAATTTGAAAAATGATTGTGGATGAGAGAGAACCTTTTTCGTCCTGCACAATTTTTCTTTCATCCCTTTCTCTCTCATTAAACTTCATTATTCGAAATACAAAATAAATTTATAAAATATATTGGAAATCAATAAATATCAATTAATCTGCAATTATACATTGGATCAATTATAATATATGCAATTTTATATTGTAGCAGATTTTTTTATACAATTTATATGATTGATATTCAAATCGATATCTAGTCAATCTGATTTTTTTTTGTATCTAAATCAAAGATACGAGCATTATTAATTAATATTAATTTAATCCAGTCCTAATAAATTATTCGCATGTGGTTAATAACATTCAGGGTAAAATTCATCGATGTAACGACGAAATCCAATTTTTTTGCGCGGGGCTCCGCGAAGGTGCGCACACGTCCCTGATTTCTCTAAGCCCGAGTTTATGCTTCCCGGCTCGAAACTCGAGCACTCACGAGCCGCATGCGATTGGTTCGTCGCCGACTCTCGCAGACATTTTCCACTGAAATCAATGTGTACGAGTGTGTCAGTCGTTACTTTTTTTTTTTTTTCAACGCAATGAGATACTCAGGCAAGTCTTGAAAAGAAAAAAAAAATAAATACGCGTCCTTGACGCGACGCTTCCACCGAAGGTCGAGGAAAATTCGAATTTTGATGCCGAGGTCTTCCATGCATAATGCATCCCGTTTTGCCCGAGGCACGGGGGGATCAAGGACGCCGCGAATCTGTCGTTATTTCGGTCGAAAGGGGCCCTTGAAAAAATGTTTTTTCAGAGCCCCCTTTTTTTTCGTTTCTATATTTCGATATTACAACGAGGTAAAAATGTATCGGAAAATATTGCGAGTTCTATTCAAATATATCTTTGGTCCTTTTTATATCTGGATTCGCACGATTAGAAACCCCCTCGGTGCCCCATCCCTACAGGGATACATACATACACAGTCGATGATTCCGCCTTGTCGGAATTCTCCGGGTGGGTCGCCAGAGAAAGAGACCCGAAAAAAAGGAAGAGGGAGAAGAAAGAGACGCACCGACCTGAAGCGCAACCGATTTATCGTTCATCTCCCAATACCGGTCTCGGATTTCGACGCGAGACTCGACGGTAGGACGTATCGCGCGTAGGGTAGGAAGAGTCGCGCGGTTCGTACCAATCCCAGTAAACAGCCCTATATAAACGCACGCGTGTGCACGTGTCTATACATATATATGTATAATACGCACGTACGATCGTGTATGTGTATGCGTTCGACGCGGATGGGCCGAAAGAGAAGGGAAAGGGAAGAGAGAAAGAGAAGGGATCACGCTATAGTCCGCGGTTATGCTGTATTAGGGAAAGACGGACCGTCCGATCTTCCGCGTCGTAGTTTGCCGTCCGACCGATAGAGCGTGGATGGGGGAACCGGCCCAGCCAATGGTGTGGGTCGCGCACGGGTTGCCACGGAAACAAGTTAATGATTCGGGCTGCCACCCGGAGGAATTGGTCTGGTCGGCGCGGTCGGCGCGCGTAGCGTTCTGTCATGCGTCTGCGCATGCGCCGCGCTGCCTCCGAGTGGGAGGGGGGAGATCCTATCCTTGTCTCGCTCTTCGCGTACCGTCTCGTCTCTCGATATAGCTATCGCAACCGCACACGAC